TTTGGAAGGTTACAGAGATTTTTTTAGAGAGAGTTTTTTGAGTAAGATTTTGAAACCTTTGCCGTTTCCATACATTTGGTCCCTATTTATACTAGTTTTTGGATCGTAAAAATCTAACTAAAAGTACAATAAGTGTTTTCTTATGGTCACTTCAATCTCCTTTTTGTCACATTGCGTGCGCAATCCAAACCAAATCATAGTGGTTGAGTAATAATATTTCTATCATTGGAAGTAAGAGCAAGAGATATCAAATATATTTTTGTTTTATAATATCATATTCCAATAATAGATTTTTTTTAAATTTTTTTTTTAGAATATATTGTACTTTGCCACTTTTCTTGAATGGTTGTGTTCTCTGCATCTTGGCATAACCTATTTTCAAACAAAGCATAAAAATATAAGATTTATAGTGTACTTGAAATTTGATATGAAATGGTAGCTTAAGTATGGATAATGCTAATAAGATTTATTCATGGCCATTGTTTGAAATTCAAAGGGGAAGTTGGCGAATTGCAAAAACTTATAAGTGAAGTATCTTAGTCACCAAATCGCCCTAAGTTAACAAGGAAATCAACACATTTGTTACCTTCCCTTAAAACATGAGAATTCTTCATAGGTTCCTTTTGAGCGAGCATTGTTTTACACTTTTTGGCAGTCTATAGTAAATGTGAGGCCGAGACTCCTTACTTTGAGATGCATATTCTTGTATCTTGTGATAGTGATAAGATTTTAGGTGTCTCATTACACTCCACATTATTACTCTACTTGTCATTCAACAAATATTTGTATATCTTCAAAGGGTTAGATGTTGTTGGGTGAAGACTTGGTGGGATATTTTTATATCTTCCCCTTGCTAGCAAAGTCTGTGGCCATCTGCATTCTTTGTGATGCTACGAATCAATCATTATAGTTGTCAGATCAAACTTCAAGTTACAACTTGTAATGAAAACGTAACTTTATTTTTTTATATTTGCGTAACATTCAATATCAAGTTTCAATGGCATGATACTGGACTCGACTCTTCGAGCCGTCACTCAAGAAGAGTATTTTTAATTGGGATTTGAAGTATATGCTAGATGCTAGCTAAATGTGTAAGCTTTGGTTATTAATAATAACAATAACAATCTATAATCTTATGAGATCGTCTCATAAATCCACATTCATAATACGAGTTAGATTTTAATAGCTGTTACACTTTTCCTTATAAGTAACTCCTCAACCCTTAAATATTATATTTTGATTTTAAAGTATTATATGTATATTTTTTAAAAAGTATCCCATTTTTTCTAATAAGCATTACATTTTCTCATATAAATAATAATCAATTTTTTAACGATTAGTATTTCACTTTTTCTCACAAGTATTACGTTTTCCCTCACTAATAATATTCAATTAATTTATCTCTGATTAGTATTACATTTTTTCTCATGAGTAATTTTCAACCACTAAATATTATATTTTGATTTAAAAGTATTACCTTTTTAAAAAAAAATTATTTCTTTTGACAAGCAAAGAACTTCATTCATCATACTAAGCCTGAATTACAAACCGGTGGGACAGACTCCCAACCACCTAGGACAGACGATGAAACAGCTGCCCGCACAAAAACATGAGCGACATGATTCGCTGACCTACTGACATGGCGGACCACAACGTCCCCTATGTCCCTAGCAATCAAACGACAATGCTTTATAACCAAACCAACATAAGAAAGGTCCAAACTAGCAGAATTAAAGTTTGTGCAAAAAACTAAACAATCAGACTCAACAATTATATTGCTACTACCACGAATTTTCAACCAGGTTAGAGCTTCCTTGATCGCCGCCATCGACTCTGCCACATAAGCATCTCAACAGCACTGCAGATGCCCCCCAATTGCAGCAACAAATTGCCCATTATGATCTCGCAACACCGCACCATACCCCACACCAACGTCTAATAAAGAAGCATCTACATTGCATTTGAGCACATTGACTGGAGGCGGGATCCATGCAGCAGCCGGATGTAATATCGCCGAGGGAGGACTGCCCGTAGATGCCCAACCATCCTGCCATGTTGAAACAAGAGCGTGCACTTGGTTCTCAACCATTTGCAAAGACCAAGCTCTATTGTTCCAAAGCAAGTCATTACATACCTTCCACAACGTCCAAAACCGCGCAGCCATCTCCAGAACTTGTGTCCTATCCCGCGAGCCGGGCCGGATTTTAGGCTGTGCAAACTGGGCTACAGCACAGGGCCCCCAAATTTTAGGGGGCCCCTAAATTTTAGAAGATTCAATATTTAATTTTTACCTAGCTAGCATAGAAATAAAAATTAAAAGTTTTCAATTAAACTTATAAGGCTTAATGGAGGAATGGTAAAAACATGTGTTTATTATATTTTAACTTTGAGGTCAGAAGTTCGAAACTTGAGAGCTGCTACTTTAAACATTTTTCTTTATTTTTTTTAATCTTTTTGCATTCCGAGTTGCGCACGCTATTATTATTATTATTATTATTATTATTATTATTATTATTATTATTATTATTATTATTATTATTATTATTATTATTATTATTATTATTATTATTATTATTCCATAATATGTTTTTTGTTTTTTTCTTCTATTTTTTCAATCCTTTTACATTGCGAGTTTGCACATACTATTATTATTATTATTATTATTATTATTATTATTATTATTATTATAATTTATTATATAATATGTTTTTTGTTTTTTTTTTCTTTGCGCACGACAACATTTTATCACCTTATTATTAAAAAAAATACAGTATTAATTTTAAAGATGATGATTTTGGTAGGGCCCCATTTATTTACCAAACAGGGCCACCAAAATCTAAAAACCGACCCTGCCTGCGAGCCAAGAACCTCCTCAACAAAAGTACATAAGGTTCGGCCAATAAAAACAGCCGCTCCGCCCCAAACCTACACTGCAAACGGGTAATCACATAAAATATGGGTAATTGTTTCAGTGTCCAAATCACAAAGGAGGCAACCCCCGCCCACAAACACATGCTTAGAACGAATGACATCTTTTACTGGGAGCAGACATCGCAAACACCGCCACAAAAAGTTCTTAACATTCGGTGGGATTTTCAGACTCCATAGTAGATTCCAGTTCATAAAGTCCGAAACCGGGGCAAGGGACGAGAGAGAGGATGTTAGCAAACGATAGCCATGTTTAACCGAATACACCATGCGCAAATCACCTCTCCAACACCAAGAGTCTGCATGTTCAGGCGAAATCGGGGTCCGAATAATTCTGTGCACATCCTCCTCCACAAAAATGTCACGCAGCAAGTCCACATCCCAAGTACCATCCGCTGACAACAAATTGCTTACTCGTGGATGCCTTAATTCTTCCACACACTCCGTCTCAAGACTCGGATTAACCCTGTCAGCCATCCACGGCATACCCCAAACTGGAGTATCCACCCCATTACCCACCCTACGCATAAACCCATCACGTAGGAGATTCTACCCCGCAAGTATGCTACGCCATAAAAAACTCAGATTGTGGCCAATTGTAGCTTCTAAAAAATCTGTCCGCGGAAAGTATCTAGCTTTAAGAACACGGCACACTAGGGAGGATGGGTTAACCAACAACCTCCAACCCTGTTTAGCCAGGAGCGCCACATTAAACTCATGAAGTCTTTTGAAACCCATACCACCAAGAGCTTTAGGAGTAGCAAGCCTAGACCAACTAAGCCAGTGTATGCCCCTTGTATTTCCATTCAAATTGCACCACCAGAACCTGTTCAACATTCTTTCAATAGCATCACAAGTGGTAAGCGGCAGAAGGAAAACAGACATAGTAAAAATAGGCATCGCCTGGCCAATACTCTTCACCAAAACTTCCTTCCCGGCTCTAGACAGAATTTTCTTATTCCAAGAATTAATTCTATCACGTATCCTTTGTTCCACATAGCTAAACACAGCCCTCTTATTACGCCCAAGGAAAGAAGGGAGTCCAAGATACTTCCCAAAATCCTCGGCATGCCGAACCCCGAGAGTCGCAGATAAATGAGTACGAGTAGCAGGTAAAGTATTAGCGCTAAATGAAACACTCGACTTATCAAAATTAACCAACTAACCAGATGTCTCACTGTAGATAGGCAAACAACGCTTGACCACATGCACCTCATTGATATTCGCCCGAAAGAACAGCAAGCTGTCATCGACGAAGAATAAGTGTGACACCGAGGGTGCCCCGCGTGCAACCCTTATACCGTGAAAATTTCCCATGGCTTCCTGGCGCTGCAACAAAACCGACAGCCCTTCTGCACATAAGATAAACAAGTATGGTGACAAGGTGTCCCCTTGACGGATGCCCCTAGTTGGCGCTACCACACCCGCAACCTCCCCATTGACTAATAATATAAGTTTTACACTTTAATTTCTCTCATAAGTAACAATTAATTTATCTTTGATTCGTATTACATTTCTATCTAGACTCAACTCGTCTCATGGATAGGAAAACCAATGGCATGCAACCAAAGTTGTGCATAAGATTTTGAGAAAACTAATTATTATACATGAATCACATTTGATCATTGACTACTAAAATTTGCTAATTAGATGCATGATTATGTAATTTTTATCACATTTGATCCTACTGTTCAATTTTCCAGCCAACTATTGTCAAAAGCGCTTCTTCCGGGGAGCACTGCATTTTCTTCTTCCGGAAGAAGCGCTTCTGGAAGGAGCACGAGCACTTCCAGCAATAGTTATGTTGGGCGTCGGCCGGGTTAGCCGAGTTCAGTCCCTGCTCGATTCGAGACGTGGCACTGTGACTTACCATGGAGAGATATGGTTAAATGGTTAATGTTTACCTACCTATCACCAATTGGTTTTAAGTAGGATATGGCAACCAGGTACCATAGAACTCTGTAGTTAAGCGTGCTTGACTTTTCGAGGGGGTCAGCGTGCTTGACTTTCCGAGATGGGTGACCCCCCAGGAAGTGAGCATAGTGGAGCGCGTAGACTAAAATTGAAATTTATTCTAAGATTTTAGGTGTATCATTACTCTCCACACTAAATAACTTTAATGTAAACAAATCTTTGTTCCAATAAATATATCCACACCCCACACCAATGGGAGCCATCACAAATCAAAGCACACAATTCAATTCATGGCTTTTGCCATGAACCCCTGGCTACCAAAATCTACGCCTATCTGCATTCTTCTTCTTCTACTACTGTTTGCGCCAAATGGGGATGCTGCTGCTACTGGATATTGCTACAAATCCATCATTAACTTCGGCGATTCCCTGTCCGATACCGGAAACTTCATTCGCATGTGGAATCCCAATCATCTTGCCGCCATTCCTCCCTACGGAGAAACGTTCTTTCACCGCCCCACCGGCCGCTTCTCCGACGGCCGATTAATCATTGACTTTATCGGTATGTATACTTACACACTTTAGCGTTGACCGTCGAGCGCTGGGACTTAAGTCTCATAGATCTGGGAATCTGGGATGCTGATATTAGTTGTGTTTGCAGCTCAGAGCTTGGGGCTTCCGTTTTTGCGGCCATATTTATCGGCAGAAGAAGAAAGTGATTTCGAGAAAGGGGTGAACTTCGCCGTCGCCGGAGCTACTGCGCTTGATATCTCCTTCTTTCAAGAAAGAGGAATTGTTAATGATTTGACCAACACCTCTTTGGGAACACAATTGGATTGGTTCCATGAATCTTTCTGCAACAGCATTCATTCTGCAGGTCATCTCTTCTTTCGATCTTCCCACAGAGTGTGTTGATTTTTAGTTATTTGGGATTACAACTTCAATTCGATCTCTTTCAATAGGCTAAACTTTAAGCTAGTCAACTACTACTGTATTTGTTGGGCGGAGTAGGTAGGGGCCAAGTCCATCAATTAGTGGTGGCTCTGGAAAATATAATTAGTCTATTATAAGGGAATAAAGGAGTTAATACTTAAAATGGCCTTTGACTAGTGGTTTTTTTCCAATTTCATCTTAAACAATTTTGGTGACCTAATATAGTCTCAGACTTTTGTGTTTTGTTCAATTTAATCATTCATTTGTTATTCCGTCAAATTGGTGTTAAATAAAGGGACAATTCAATAATATCACTATTGACCTCTCTTTACTTTCAACATGCGAAGTGAGAAAACCATCTTTCTTGTACGAATTACTCCCAGACCTACGAATCAAATTTTATATTCGCGGGTTTAGGAGTGATTCTGGGAGTAATTTGTAAAAACAAAAAACGAGAGATTTCGCACTTCACATGTCTATGAGTAAAGATATGACAATATTAAAATTACTAAATTGTCTATTTATTTAACAACAAATTGACGAAATAACAAATGGGGGACTAAATTGAGCAAAAATACAAAAGTTTGAGACTAAATTGAGTAAAAATACAAAACTCTGGGACTACATTAAGTCATCAAAGTCGTTTAGGACAAAATTAAGAAAAACCACTATAGTCGAGGACAATGTTGGGTATTAACTTGGGAATAAAGTTATGTATTTGTTATTAGTCCGAGATTAGTCACTGTATTTATAAGGTCTTTGGTTGGATGAAGGAATTAGGAAGGAAAGAAATTGCAATTCGGTGGGAATTGGGAAAAGAATAATGTGCGAATAATGTAAGACTAAAATGTCATTATGTAATAATAATAATAATAATAATAATAATAATAATAATAATAATAATAATAATAATAATAATAATAATAATAATAATAATAATAATAATAACTAAGGGTATTGATGCCATTTCATCACTTTTTTTTCTTTCTTAAAAGCATTGAATTGCAATTAATGGAGGTAACCCATAAATTGCAATTCAACAAAAAAAAAAAAAAAAAAAAAAAGTTAGGTTACAGGTTTGAGTCCAAGAGGAATTGTTTTTATAATTGAGTACTTATGTTATTTTATCAACATGCAAGGGTAAAATTGGAATTTTATTAATAAAAAAGTTTTTGAAAAAAAATAAATTTAAATTAAAAAAATTTATTACTATCCACAAAAAATTGGAGAAAAAACCAAACTGATATGGATGCTCTTATAACATTATCAATTTTCACTGCTGGAAATTATGGAATTTCTGACCACCTGAAAGTGATCTTAAATCAAGTCGAAAGCATTGTTTCGACCACTTTTGGTATCCGGAAAAACATTTGTTGCTATTTCCGACCACTTTTTGCTTTCAACTTGATTTAAGATCACTTTCAGGTGGTCGGAAATTCCATAATTTCTAATAGTTTTTAGTCCTGGATGATGATGATGATTATTATTATTATTATTTTTATTTTTATTTTTTTTTGAATTTAAGGTGTGTTTAAAAGAGCAATTGAGCTGTCTAAAAGGCCATTTAGATGAATTATTGTTATTAAAGTTCTAATTGCAAAATTTCAAAAACTTATGGTATTAGTGTATTTGTTTTTTTTAAGAGATATTTCACGGTTGACTATAAACAGATTGCAAAGAAAAATTGCAAAGCTCTCTTGTAATAATGGGAGAGATTGGGGGCAATGACTACAATTATGCATTCCTTCAAGGCTTCCCCAGAGAAGAGATCTCATCTTTTGTTCCCAAAGTTATTTCCACCATTAGTTCAGCTATTACGGTAGGAATATTCATCCTATTACATTACCAAAAAAAAAAACACAAAATTATTTAGGAATTAGAACTTACAATTTATTTAATTTTAACAGGAACTAATCGAATTTGGAGCTCGAAGAATGATTGTTCCGGGAAATTTTCCTATTGGATGTATACCAGCTTACTTGTCACGCTTTATGAGTTCCAATCAGAGCGATTACGACTCTACAACAGGTTGCATCAATTGGTTAAACGAGTTCTCGATGTACCATAATGAGCAACTTAAACGAGAGTTGAGTCGCCTCCGAGAACTTCATCCAAACACCACCATAATTTATGCAGACTACTACAATGCAGCCATGGAGTTATATTCTTCTCCAACCAAATATGGTAATTCCCAGCTCCCACTTTTAACTTTTGCTCAATGTTGTAAAAATCAGTCTAGACAGCCGTCTAGGCGCCCCTAGGCCGGGGCGATTTCAGCCCTAGGTGGCTTTTAGTTGATTGGCTGACTAACTGGCCGACTAGGGCGTCTAACTCCAACTAGTTGGCGCCCAACTAGGCTGAGTCAATGCCCAACTCGGTCGAGTGGTACTTTTTGCCTGCTCGGTTGCTCATCTTCTATATTCCTCCAGCTATGTACTCAACTAACCATCTACATATGTAGTTGACTAGTTTGTGGAATTATAATAATCTAACAACTCACGGCCTGAGTGAGAAAAGTGAAGACGATAACTCGAATTACTCGACCGCTTAAGAGGCACCTAAGAACTTTAGGTGCTAGGCGCTTCCCGGGCGCCCGACTAACGCTTAGCGCCTTCTGCAACATTGCTTTTGCTTCATTTCGGATCGTTATGCTGTGCATCCGTGTGCACCATGCATGGTGCATACGGATGCAAAAACAACGTCGTTTTGATTAAAAACGTGCGTCCCACTTTAAAAAAAAAAAAATCAGTTTCGATTCCCCTCAACAGTATCGTTCATTCATTCTGAATTTTTAGTTCATAGATTCTGGATTTTTAGCTCGTTCATTGATTCTGGATTTTTAGTTCGTTTATTGATCCTGGATTTTTAGTTCATTGATTCTGGATTTTTAGTTCATTGATTCTGGATATATAGTTCAAATTATGCACAACATAATGCTGTTGCTAGGAATAGAAACTGAATTTTTTTTTTTAAGTGAAACGCGCGTTTTTAATAAAACGATGTCGTTTTTGCATCCGTATGCACCATGCATGATGCATACGGATAATTTGCCGTTCATTTCACAGTCATCTATGATTCTGAATTTTTGTTACCTTAATGATATTTCATAGGATTTAAGAATACATTATCAGCATGTTGTGGAGGAGGGGGCCCATACAATTATGACGCATACGCTGAGTGTGGGTTAGAATCAAGGGTGTGTGATGAGCCATCATCATTTGTAAGCTGGGATGGCATTCATTTCACAGAAGCTGCATATGAAGTGATAGCTCAGGGGCTAATTCATGGCCCATATACTTCACCTCAAGTTAATGGATTGTGCGTTCTTGAAGGCTCAAGAGGTCAAACATTATCAGACGATTGAAGAATGAAGATGTGATGTTGGGGGCTGAATTTATCTCATCACATTTGAATATATATGATTGCGAATTTGATAATTTATTAATGATAAGATCTTAACTTTTGATTTCTTAAGATGGAAGGTGTAACGTGAATGTGCCATTGTGCCCATACTTTTTACATGGGAAGATATTCTTATCTGAACTCTCGAAATTTACAATAGATATTACAAATTTTCTTATTATATTTTTTGAGTACAATTTTCTTATTATTTGATTATTTACGAATGAATTAATTTTACCACAAGAAATCAATTAAATATGGTAGGTCATGCAACACAAGTTGGTGCATAAAATTTTGAAAAAGTGCATCTTTAGTCCCTGAGTTATAACCAAGTTCGGATTCAGTCCCTAAGTTATGGTCGTATCCGAGTTTAGTCCCTCAATTACGAATAAAGTGGTGAGTTTGGTCCCTAACTTTAATATTTTCGCTGCAGCTAACGGAAAACTTAAAAATAATTTAATAATAGAGGGGTAAAATATGAATTTCTATAATTTCCTTCTTATGTTGAAACCCATTGCGCAACAGTCATTCTTTCATTCTTATACCTATAATCGAAGGTCTTTTTCTTCCCCAATCTCTGGAATCTCCAATTCGTCCACTTCTAATGCAAGTTGCGAAATTCATAGATAATTTGTTTCTTTATTTTATATGTTTAAATAAATAATCAATATTTTTCGTATTTATGAGCAAGAAAAAAAGTAACTTGGAAGATGTGTTTGCTAACTTCATGAAGAATATTGATTACTTTTTTCTTGATAATCAATATCCTCAAAGTTACTTTTTTCTTGATATAAAATAGATAATATTGATTATTTATTTAAACATATAAAATAGAGAAACAACTTACCTTTGAATTTCGCAGCTTGAAAGTGGATGAAATTGAGATTTCAGAGCTTGGGAAGAAAAAGACCTTCGATTTTAGGTATAAGAAAAAAGGAATAAGGGTCAAATAGGCCATCCAACTACACACAATAATTCAATTAGGTCACTAAACCTAAAAAATTAAAAATTGGGTCTCTAACTAGTACGGAGTAATAAATATGTAATTTTATTTTTTTTGTATATTTATGTAACAGTTAGCGTCATGTTTCGATAATTGGATGTTGGATTCGACTCTTCAAGCCACCGCCCAACAAGAATATTTTAAATTGAGATTTGAAGTATATGCTGAAAGCTAGCTAAATGTGTAGGCTTTGATTATTAATAATAACAATAAAAATAAAATAATAATAATAAATTATTATTTCCTCTGTTCCATTTTGTTTGTATAATTAATTAATTAATGAGCCGAGGTTTGATTGGTGTTATTTTTAATTTAATTTTTCATAATATCAAGTTTAATATTAATATGTAAAATTTATATATTTAGAAAGTACATTAAAACTTAAAAGTACTATTAATCACAAAAAATTAATTTTAAAAATAATTAAAAATTACTAAAGAAAATTGAAATAGTTAATTTAACCAATAAATAATAAACATGACAAACAAAATGAGTTGATGAAATATTATTATTAGAAGGAATGCTTAGAGTCTTAGAGAAGAGACACAAAAAAAAAATGCAGTCCGTATTATCTCTACCATATCGTTTCTTTACTATATATATATATATATATATATATATATATATATATATATATATATATGCTTTTAAGCTATATATCTTGAAAACATTTATTTTCTGTTGTGCAATTTAGGGTTTTTTTTTTTTTTTTAGAACAAATTTTCTTGGACTATATATGTAAGTAGTCAAAATATGTTTAAGGGGAGGGTTGAAAATTTAACTTTACTTACTACAATTTTTTTTTTGGGTGCTGATAATATATAGTCTTTCAAAAATAAAAAATAAAAAATAATCTGTAGAAGTCTATTCACCCTCTCTTATTAGATTTTTACCATCATTTAATTAGGACTATCAAGCGGTCTAAAAAAGATGGTCTAATTTGACTCAACTTTTCTTCAGTAATAGACATATCTTATACTTTCAAGAGAATCAAGACCTATTGTTTTTAAATATTTTTTTCAAAACGATATTAGAAATGATGAAAGATATGACTCTTGCTCAAAATTTGCTATATTCTTTAGATAAATTTGATGAATGGTGTATACATACACATGCATATTTATCAGCCTTACATGGTGAGATGCTGGAGCTCATAGCTCATAGCTCATGGACCTATAGAGATCTTGAAAGTCAATGTCACACTTGCATACATCCCAAAACCTTAGATTGGTATGAACTCTAGATGATTGGAAGAGAAAGATTTTAAATATCATTACCAAATATATATTGTTCAAAGCTATTGATGAATTAATATTTCTAAAGTATGCAAATGATCGAGTGCCGAAGAAATTTGAGACCAGCTCATGAAAAATCAAATCGTATATACCTCGCATGTTTTAAGCACTTCAATATAATGTACAGGTACGATTGTTTTAAATAACAGAAAATTACACTTTAGAGGTCTTGTTAATTTTAGTACTTGACTTTAGAAATTAACAATTTAATCTCGTAATTATGCAAATATTTAAGGCATATGGTCCTCCCGGCCAGATGTTGCCGGAAAATTGTAAACTATTTTGTTAGGAATATAGCGGAATAATGCGGAAGCGAAGAATCGAAAATTGAGAATTATAGAAGTTAAATAATAGGGAAAATAATATAAATGACAGAATAAGGCAATTGCTAATTTGGGAGATTATAAAATATATATATTAATCTCTAAATAGAGAATACAAAGAAAATATATATATATTAAATATATACTCTACGTGAGAGAAGATAAAGAATTGAATGAATTAAAATTGATGCCTGATTACAAAGGAATTCTAGCCTATTTATACATTTCAAACTAGAGACAAATGTGGTGATTGTAAGAAGACCCAAGAAATTAGGTGAAGATGTGAAACATGAATGCTAGTTTCATGGTGAGTGGTCTTCATGATTTTGAGCCACACAATTTGAGCCACATATTATATCTAACAATCTCCACCTTGGATCAAATTCATTGTGAGAATTAACAATTGGAACAGCCGACTAAACTCAAGCACTACTTGAACTTAGCAACAGGAAGAGCCTCATAATAGCAGGATGGATCATCATCAACCTCCTGTGCGACTGAAAGAGCATAAGCAACCAAGTTGGTTTCATCATCACTAGCATACCTAGCAGGTTTTTTAATTGTCCTCCTAGGACGATCCATAGCAATGGAATACTCTCGTTGTGGCTCGACGAGAGGTGCGGTGCTAGTAGATGGATCATCTTTAGTATTACCATCAGCAGTAGTAACACTATCAATAGGCCTGAACTCAAACTCCACCTTCTCACCAGTACTTTGCGTCTCATCTGTACTGGGAACTTTTCCAGAAGAACGTAGTGCATTTTCATCAAAAGTGATATCTCGACTCAGAATGATTTTCCGAGAATCAGGAGACCATAGACGATACCCTTTTGACTCAGAGGCATAACCAAGGAAAATGCATTTGACAGCTCTCGGGTTCAATTTACCCGTACTGGAATGAGCATAAGCAGGACATCCAAAAACTCTTAAGATAGAGTAGTCAACAGGATTACCTGACCAAACTTCCTCTGGAATTTTGAAATCAAGGGATGAATGTGGAGATCTATTTACCAAATAGCAAGCAGTAGAAACGGCCTCGGCCCAAAAATCACGCCGTTTCCATAACCCAGCATTAGAGAGCATACAACGAGCTCTTTCCAATAGAGTCCTGTTCAAACGTTCGGCAACACCATTCTGCTGGGGTGTACCAGGCAAGGTCTTGTGCCTGGCAATTCCATTTGTCGCACAAAAGTCATTGAAATCTGACTCACAGAACTCCAAGCCATTGTCTGTCCTGAGCTTCTTGACTTTTTTACCTGTCTGAGTCTCAACAAGTATTTTCCATTTCTTGAAAATAGAAAATGCTTGATTTTTATGTTTCAGGAAATAGACCCAGACTTTACGAGAAAAGTCATCAATAATAGACATAAAATATCTACAGCCTCCCATAGACTGGAATTTAGTCGGTCCCCATAAATCGGAATGTATATATTCCAATACATCTTTGGTACGGTGTGTAGCAGTAGAGAAACTAACCCTCTTTTGTTTCCCAAAAATACAATGCTCACAAAATTGTAATTTACCCGTACCTGAACCACCAAGGAGGCCTTTTTTGCTCAGGAGATGCATGTCTTTCTCACTCATATGCCCCAGACGCATATGCCATAATTGAGTGAGATCCGCATCAGACATCGATGAGGATACCGCTACTGAACCCGTCACAGTACTGCCATGCAAGACGTACACGCTTCCAGAACGAGAAGCTTTCATGAGAACAACAGAGCCTTTTATGACCTTCAAAACTCCACCTTCAGCTATGTACTTGTACCCCAGAGATTCCAAGGTGCCCAACGATATCAGATTGCGTTTCAAATCAAGAATATACCGCACATTGATAAGAGTCCTGATAACGCTATCATGAGTTTTAATCTGCACACTTCCAATTCCACTAACCTTGCATTGGGATTTGGGTATCATCACCCATCAAGACAACTCCACCATCAACCGGTTCCAGAGAGACGAACCAGTCTTTGTGAGGACACATGTGGAATGTACAACCAGAGTTCAGAATCCACTCGGTTTCGCTCCGTTTGCAACCAGAGCTAACAGATAACAAAACATCGTCTTCTGAATCACTTTCAAGTTTCAACAACACTAGCTTCAGCGGACTTCTTTTCTCTCTCTTGCTTGTTTTTCAACTTGAAGCATTCAGTCACATCATGACCATGCTTCTTGCAGTACTTACAGGATTTGTTGGACTTATGTCCTTTGGACTTGGATCTAGAATTTTTATTGCTACTCCCTGATTCAAGTGAACGACCCCTTACAGTCAAGCCTTCACCTTTGTCCTCAAACTTAATTTCAAAGTCAAACTTTTCTTTGGACAATAGGTTTGACTTAACACTGTCGAAAGTAAGGGTATCACTACTATTACCATACAGCATAATTTCTTTGAAATGCGTGTATGATCTAGGGAGAGAGACAAGCAATAAAACAGCGCGATCCTCATCTTCAATTATAACATCAATATTTTCCAAGTCCAATAAAATAGAATTGAATTCATCCAAGTGAGATTTAATAGAAGTACCTTCCGTCATACGGATTGTGTACAGACGCTCCTTCAGGCGTAGCGTGTTCGCCAGAGTTTTGGCCATGTAAAGCGTATCCAGCTTGGACCATAAATCTGACGCAGTCGTCTCACTTAACACCTCACGTAGAACCTCTTTAGACAGGCACAAAAGAATGGTTGAACGTGCCTTATCATCCAGATCTTCCCAATCTACATCTGTCATTGTAGCCGGTTTCTTCTTCTTCCCAGCTAGCGCTTTCTTCAAACCGTTCTGGGTTAGAACGGCTTCCATCTGAACCTTCCAGATAGAAAAGCTAATTTTCCCGTCGAACTTCTCGATATCGAACTTGGTAACAGTTGACATCTTTGAAAATAACTCTCAATTAAACTTGGCTCTGATACCACTTGTTAGGAATATAGCGGAATAATGCGGAAGCGAAGAATCGAAAATTGAGAATTATAGAAGTTAAATAATAGGGAAAATAATATAAATGACAGAATCAGGCAATTGCTAATTTGGGAGATTATAAAATATATATATTAATCTCTAAATAGAGAATACAAAGAAAATATATATATTAAATATATACTCTACGTGAGAGAAGATAAAGAATTGAATGAGTTAAAATTGATGCCTGATTACAAAGGAATTCTAGCCTATTTATACATTTCAAACTAGAGACAAATGTGGTGATTGTAAGAAGACCCAAGAAATTAGGTGAAGATGTGAAACATGGATGCTAGTTTCATGGTGAGTGGTCTTCATGATTTTGAGCCACACAATTTGAGCCACATATTATATCTAACACATTTATAATTATTTAATTATGAGGACAAATAGGTCATTTCAAGTCATTTATTCTTCTTCCTTCTTTGTTTTCTTATTTGTTCCTTCTGCTTGTCGTCTACTATGCTCACTGGAGCGTGGAGTCCTGAATTGCTGGATGAAGCGGCGATTTGGTGAAGCCTGAAGAAGAAGAAGTCGACAGAGGGATTAGCCCTGCAATGCCGGCGGCAAAAATGCGCTCGGTGAAGCCCAGATAAAGTCCATCGCCATCTTCAAGTACCAGAAGGGAGATGGAGCAGTGGACGGCGAGCATTCTGTTATGGGGTGCATTGATCCATGGCTTAAATCCAACTCCAATTGCCCTATTTGTCAGCGCGAGCATTATGTTATGGGCGTCTTCGAAGCTGAAGCCGCGGCAAGCGAAGTTCAACAACGCGGCCGCCGTCACACCGAATCCTAACCCAGTCACAGGGAGCCGACATCGTGGAAGTTAATATAATAATTAAGTTTTTGAAGTGTATCATTTGAGATACTTGTTTAGCTTAATTTGTGGAGTTAATGTTATGCATTTATAAGAACAGCTCATGGTGTTTAATACAATAACCATTGAACAGTTCATAGTGTTCAATAGTATTAATAATATATTCATGAAAATGTTGAGACAAATCATTGGGCATTTGCACTGTTTAAGTCGTCCGGATGAGAAATGTTAAACCCATTTGTCAACTATGGGTCCGTTCGGAAACCCGGAAAATGACTTCTGAAAAATGTTTTCCGAGTTTTTAGTGTTTGGATGCAATAGGAAAATCCAGTCAAGGAAATGAAACCATTTTGGCGGAAAATGATCTGACTTCCGCCAAAATTTGGGGGAAGTCATTTTCCGCCAAAATGTTTAAACATATAATTCTACTCATTTTTCCAAAAAATAAACTAAACACACCAAGTTTTTCAAAATAATGCAACCAAACACTGGAAAGGAAAATGTTTTATGGAAAATGAGTCCAGAAGTCATTTTCCTGCTTTCCAAACGGACCCTAAGTTTATAAATTTTAATTGTATAAATTGAAATTAAGCAAGGATAACATTAGAAAATATAATCTATCCAACTCATTTCATCAATTGCACAACATAATATTCGTTGTTATAATTGTATATCAATCTAAATATTCTTAAAATATTATAACAAATCCATTTTGTGAAACGCACGGGTAAAATACTAGTATATAAAAGAGGAAAGAAATAGAAGGAAATCTTTTTGTTTGATGATATAGAAATGGCAAGGATGTATCATATTTATAGTAATGCACGATGAATAAAACCACAAGAATTAAATCACCCAACCCGCGGTGGTAGTTTAGATGGTAAATGAGTTCTCTTCGTGAGAGAGGAAGAATTTTGGGATAATCTGGATTTGATTCTCACAAGTGACGATTTCTCTCGGACCAGGAGCGAACTAGTCCGAAAAGAGAAAGCACCTTGATTCATTTGGTTCAGAGAAAGCACCTTGATTCATTTGGTTCACTGATCGATCACCACCTCGATTCATTTGGTTCACTGATCGATCACCTGGCATTAATAACATCAATTTCAGGCTCTGTTTGGTAGAACTTATAACTTATTTTAAGAATGTTCCCAAAATAAGCTCCTAGCTTAAAATACGAGCTTATTTTGGAACAGTAGCGTTTCAAAATAAACTCCTAGCTTCCTAACTTTTTTTCCATCTTTATCTTTATTCTTTTAAAGAAATGACATAATTTACCCTTTCCAATTAAAACCCTTTTCTATTCTCCTTTATCCACAACTTTTCACCTCAATTATTATTATTATTACTACTACTACTACTGTTGCTGCTGCTGCTGCTACTACTACTACTATTGTTATTGTTGTTGTTATTGTTGTTGTTATTATTATTATTATTATTATTATTATTATTATTATTATTATTATTATTATTATTATTATTATTATTATTATGAGATTTGCAACAATATTGCTACTTCATTATGAGATGCTAGCTAGATCATGATTATGCTAATAGTTTTATTTCAAAATGTTATTTTTTTTAAAGACAAAATGTTAAATTTTAATATGTAAACAAACTAATTTAAATTTTATGAAAGTGTCCTTTTTAGTCTTTTTACATTTATCAACTTATCAAAAAGTTAATTTTACCAAACACTTTCAATCATAACAGCTAGCTTAACAGCTCTTCAGTTTTCAGCTCCGAACTTATAACTTTTCAGCTTTTAGCTCCTTTTCAGCTAAGGGTGTGTTTGGAAACCCGGAAAATGATTTCTGGAAATCATTTTCCGGGTTTTTGGTGTTTGGCTAGGTTGGAAAATGAGTGGTCAAAGGAAAATGAAGAGAAGTCAATGGAAAATGAGGCCAACTTTATGGAAAATGACTTCCCCTTTTTTTTTGGGAAGTCATTTTCCATTCTTTGCATTCTTTGGTTCATCCCACTGCATCAACATCAGGGACCATCGCCGGAGACGATTACCACTACTAGAGGTTCATCTCGTCGCCGTCGTCGATCTGCTTGTCACCGCCGTCGATCTTCCCGTCGCCGCCGCCTCAACACCAGAGAACGTCGCCGCCGTCGATATGTCCGTCGCTGCTGAAGGGGAGGGAGGAAGAAACCCAGGTCGCCGCTGCTTTGTCCACCGTTTGTCCGAATCTGCTATGTTTGTCCGAATTCTGATTTCACCACCGGAAATCTGCTATGTTTACCTATTTAATGTTGAATCTGCTATGTTTGCCTAAATACTATTTCACCGCCGGAAATCTAATATGCTATGTTTGCCTATTTTTTTGTGGCTTATTTATGTATAGTGCTATGTTAAATAATAATAATAATAATAATAATAATAATAATAATAATAATAATAATTTGTGATATTTTTTTTGGATTTTGTCATTTTCCTATCCATTTTCTGGAAAATGAACCAAACACACCAAGACAGTTTTCTGTTGTGTAGCCAAACACCGGAAAAGAAAATATTTTCTGAAAAATGACTCATTTTCCAGAAATCATTTTCCTGCTTTCCAAACGGACCCTAAGTTTGTCAAACAGAGCCTCAATATCTCTTAAGACCAACGTAGTCATCATAGAGTTGTTCAAATTGTCCTTTTGGAAGAAGAATAAAGATTGGAAAATGAGTATTACAATGAGATGTGGGGGTTGAATCTCGTGAAGAACGGTTGCAAAGTGAAGTCAAAAGGACTTGATGTTTAATCTTTGTATTGAAATTCATATAGGCTAACCCCCGGGGGGTTGGGGGGGGGGGTTAGGTTTTTTTTTTTTAAAAAAAAAAATTGATAAAAAATTAGAGTTACGGAGTATAATTTTTTTGTTTTTATTGTTTCTTGACTTCTTCCCATAAATCCACGGAATGGGCTTCAGAAGTTGGGAGAATATAATTCATTCATGGCTTTTCCCAGTTTCCTCTCGCTACAAAAATCTGCAGCTATATGCATTCTTGTATTTCTAGTGTTTGCGCCATGTGGGGATGCCACTCGATGCTACGAATCAATCATTAGTTTCGGAGATTCCCTCGCCGACACCGGAAACCTCATTCGCATGTGGAATCCCTATAACATTGCGGCGGTTCTTCCCTACGGAGAAACCTTCTTTCACCGCCCCACCGGCCGCTTCTCCGACGGCCGACTCATCCTTGACTTTATCGGTATTTATTACCATATTTCTTCATTCATTCACGTTAGTGTTGACTGTACGTCAAACTGAGTGTCTGGGATATGATGCTGATAATATTTGTTGTGATTGCTTGCAGCTCAGAGCTTGGGGCTTCCGTTTTTGCGGCCATATTTATCGGCAGAAGAAGAAAGTGATTTCCAGAAAGGGGTGAACTTCGCCGTCGCTGGAGCTACTGCGCTTAATATCTCCTTCTTCCATGAAAGGGGAATTTATAATGCTATGACAAACACCTCTTTGGGAACACAATTGGATTGGTTCCACGAATCTTTCTGCACCAACATTCATTCTGCAGGTCACCTCTTCTTAACTTCTTTCTTCCCACAACAGTGTTGATATTTACTTCAATTCTCTTTCAATAATAGACTAAACTTTAGCTAATTAACTACTGCTTTATTTAGTTTTTTTTTTTTTTTTTTAAAAAAAACTACTACTTTATTTATTTTTAAACAAGGGTACATTTGTTATCTTATCAACGTACAAGGGTAAAATTGGAATTTTTAAAAAAATAAAAAGTTTTATTTTTTATTTTAAAAATTTTAGTTATTATCACATATGTTAGACTTTAAAGTAAAAATTATATATACGTGTCACTCAAATGGATATATCTAAAAATATTTTAAATATTAGCTAAAAAATATTAAATTATTTAAATTAAATTTTAGATGAACATAATAAGTTATTGGTTCAAATATATTTTTAGTTATGTTATATGTGAATATAAATTTTTTTCTGATATCAAATGTAAATATATTACACATATTAGACTTAAAAGTACAAATTATATTTATTCTATTTAAACCAAATATATTCAAAAATATTTTAAATATAAGGTCTATATATCATTCGACATTATATTGGACTTAGTTAATTTTATAACGTTAGTTTAAAAAACTAAATGTAGAAAAATGATTGTTAGTAGAAGTTTCTAAACAATTCAAGAAACAAAGAATGAAAAGAAAAGTTAGAAAACAGAGAATGAAAATTGAAAAAAATTAGAAAACAAATGTCATGTTTAGCAATCAGCAGTTAGCGGATTGTGTTACCAGATTTAGATTGTTTTAACGGCTTGTGAAAAGATATTTGATAAAATTAATTGATTAATGTTAGCAGTTAATTTAAAAAAAAAACATAAAATGATATTCTTAATAATTATTGTTATTATGCAATAGTAATAAAATAAAAATAAAAACAAATAACAATAACAATAACAATAACAACACCAACACCACCACCACCACCACCAACAACAACAACAACAACAACAATAACAACAACAACAACAACAACAACAACAATAATAATAATAATAATAATAATTTAAAAAATGATCCCACATCAAAAAATTAATGAAAAGGGAGTCTTGAACTCCTCTATAAAAGGGGAGCTAAAAGCCTGCTTTTTCACCCCTTGCACATCCGATGTGAGAAGGGTAAAGGAACTTAGGGTCCTTTATTAAAGGAGCCTCCTTCATCTCGATATCTACTTTAAAAAAAAAAAATTGAAGGAAGACATTTTGAGAAAAGAAAATTCTTTTTCTAAAATGTCCGGAAATTCTTTTTCTAAAATGCCAACCCTAAATGCTACTTTTGGAAGTGTTTGTGGTTTCGGCAGTTTGGAGCAAAACTGCCGAAACATTTTGAGAAATTGAAGGAAGACATTTTGAGAAAAGAAAATTCTTTTTCTAAAATGTCCGGAAATTCTTTTTCCAAAATGCCAACCCTAAATGCTACTTTTGGAAGTGTTTGTGGTTTCGGCAGTTTGGAGCAAAACGTTGCTCCAAATTGCTGAGTTACCAAACATGTTTTTTTTTTTTTTGGTCAAAAATAGCGGATTCGTCATTTACCAAACAAGGTAAATAACCGTAAATTATTCTGTGAACACGAGTTCAAATGTTCACAATTTACTTTGTAAAATTCATAATTTGTATACTATGAACACACAATGTTAACATATATGTAATTGATTACCTATTCATAAGTTCCTTTCAAATACCAAATTCTCTTCTAAGTTGTAATGTGTTTTGACACAATTTCAGTACTAAAAATACACAATTTATACGCCGTTTATAATCAAGGTCCACCTTGCAAATAGAACCCCCATTTTTTCATTTGAAAACCCATTTTTCCATTTTTTTCTAATTTAACAAAGGATTTGGAAAACATTTTTTTTTTCAATATTTTTCCAAATACATAACCATACATATCTTCATTTATAATCACTATTATTTGGAAGAATTTATAATCACTATTATCATTACATATAAACTTTACTTATATATCTATCTACTCAACCACCAACCAATATACATCTACCACCACCTACTACTGTATAATTATCATATCTACTTATCTTAGCATCACCACTATTATTAATACGATAAATGAATATTACATGTACCCATTTCAAACCTGTTTGACACTACCCATACAGTACTCTAAATCATCTCGAGACTTATTTAATGCAAGCACGTGCTTGTACACGCACGATTGAGTATCAAACATACGCGAGAATTTCACAACTACTTGAATTCATTTCAAACTCGACTATCAACTATCCAAACTCATTCTATTAGGGCTTAGGTAGCCGATATTATTATACAAAATTGTCATCCATTAATATTATTCATATCCAAACCGACTCGATCCAAAACATATACACAATTGTACCATTCAATATTATTGTCATGTTTCACAAGCATTACTTGTACGTTAAAATGAAAAGAAAAGAAAAATCTAGTTTCAAATAACTTCGTATTTTTTTCATTACAATTAAGTTTTTCATTTGAAAGAGCAATTGAATTACTCGAAAGAGGGTTTTCAAAAAAGAATTACTCGAAAGATAATTTAGATGAATTGTGGTTACCTCTCCCATTGCAAAAATTTCAATGACTTATGGCATTAGTGTATGTGTTCTTCACGGAATATTTCACTGTTGATTATAAACAGACTGCAAAGAAAAATTGCAAAGCTCTCTTGTAATGATGGGAGAGATTGGGGGCAATGACTACAACTATGCATTCCTTCAAGGCATTCCTAGAGAAGAGATCTCATCATCTTTTGTTCCCGAAGTTATTTCCACCATTAGTTCAGCTATTACGGTAGGGATATTCATCCTATTACATTACCAAAAAAAAAACACAAAATTATTTAGGGATTAGAACTTATAATTTAATTAATTTTCGCAGAAACTAATTGAATTTGGAGCTCGAAGCGTGGTTGTTCCCGGAAATTTACCTATTGGATGTTCACCAGTTTACTTGTTCTACTTTAAGAGTTCGAAGCAGAGCGAATACAACTCTACAACCGGTTGCATAAATTGGTTAAACGAGTTCTCCATGTACCATAATGAGCAACTTAAACTCGAGTTGAGTCGCCTCCGAGAGCTTCATCATAATACCACCATAATTTATGCGGACTACTACAATGCAGCCATGGACTTATATACTTCTCCAAGCAATTATGGTAAGTAATTAATCCCCAGCTCCCATTTTTAACTTTTGCTTCTTTTCAAACCTCTTATATCACTGCTGAAAATTATGGAATTTCTGACCACTTGAAAGTGATCTTAAATCAAGTCGAAAGCCTTGTTCCGACCACTTTTGGTATCCAGAAAAATCTTTGTTGCTATTTCCGACCACTTTTTGCTTTCAACTTGATTTAAGATCACTTTCAAGTGGTCGGAAATTACATAATTTCCAGTAGTGTATTCTGAAGTTTAATTTTGTTATCCTAATGATATCATAGGGTTTAATAATACACTATCAGCATGTTGTGGACAATGTATGTTTCCAAATCCAACGGTATGTGATGAGCCATCATCATTTGTAAACTGGGATGGCATCCACTTAACAGAAGCAGCATATGAAGCTATAGCGCAGGGGCTACTGCATGGGCCATATACTTCACCTCATGTTTATGAATTCTGCATTCTTAAAGGCTCAAGAGGTGCTCAAACATCATCGGATCATTTAAGAATGAACATATGATGTCTGTAAGGGCACTTCAGTTGATTCATGGATGGTAGATTATGGGTAATATAATGGCAAGAATGAACATATAATGTTGGATTTGGTACGGTATTATTATCTCATGATGAGCTGTATTATCATACTCTTCTAATTTAAATGGTTTGCTATAATTACAAATGTACTTGTGATTGTTGTAAATCGTTGCATTTGGTGTAGTTGATGTGAACATGGTAACATAGTTAGCTTGTCAATTAATTAAGCTTATTTGACCACTATTAACTGTTTGACTTTGTCAAATATTCAAAATGAGTGTTTTGATTAATGAACTTTTTGTATGTAACAGATTATTGTGCAAACTACTAAAATTCAAAAAGCTGTTCAAATCAACTTTTTCGATCAATTTTTTGATAAAGTCATTTTTGTATATAATCAGCTATTAGTTGACAATTAATTTACCAAACATCTTTTTACAATAAGCTAATGCTATCAACTACTACTCAAACTCACTGATTCAGGCCAATCAGTTAACAACTATATTTACCAATCGCCCCATTGTCATTGTTGTTGCTGCATGCATAGTGTGAAGCAAAGTTAGAAATCTTCGCCCTTTGTCATTGTGTCATATGCCCTTAGCTTTCATCAAGCAATTTTTTCTATTTTCTTGAATGAGTTAATTCCAACATCGGTCTTATAACTATCGTGATTTTTCACAATTGATTCTTGACTTTTAATTTGGACAATTTAGACACTTGACTATCAAAATATTTTCAATGTTAATCCTTCCGTCACAAGCTGGTTAAGTGGACGTTAAATGGAAGGGTAAAACAGTATTTTAACATGTTCTGTGTATAATACCTCATTGGTCTCCTCTCTATACACGATAAAAATCAAAATCCCCAAATCTCCTCCTTATTTGGTGACAGAAACATAGACAATTTATAATTACAAAATGAAGCATTAAGGTTGGAGCTGTGTGAAAGTGAGTTTCAGTAATTTATTGACTGTAACCAGAAGAGTTTAAATACTCATACAGAGCCAAGAAGAAATGAACAGTTACACTTGAACATTAAGACTAGGAAAAACAAATAAACATAAACCAGGAAAAAATAAGAGGCCTAGACTAAATCTTAACACGCCTCTCCAAGATTGAGGCTCTATCAGTTAGCCCAAGCTTGGACCGGAACGCCGCGAACAAACGCAAACTAAGAGGTTTAGTTAGAAGATTAGCCACCTGCTCAGTGGAACGAACATAACGAATGCGCAGGAAGCCCGAAGTAACCTGTTCACGCACAAAAAAGTAGTCAAGTGCCAAGTGCTTCATCCGTGAGTGAAAGACCAGATTTTTGCACACATATGAAGCACTCAGGTTGTCAGTGATTAACAGCGGTGTAGATTGCTGGCCAACCCCAAGCTCACGCAACAAACTCTGAAGCCACATAACTTCAACAGCAAAATTGACAAGTGCCCGGAACTCGGCCTCCGTGGAGAAACGTGAAAGTGAAAGCTGTTTCGTAGACTTCAAGGAAATGAGATTCGAGCTAAAGAACACACAATAGGCCGTGGTAGAACGACCCCCATCACGAACACTACCTCAGTTAGAGTCCGATTAAGAAACAAAAGTGAGTGGACAACCATGCCTGAAATATAGACCAAAGTGCAGAGTACCTTTCAGATATCGCAGAACCCGCTTCACAGCTTGCCAGTGACCCTCAGTCGGAGACGCCATAAATTGAGCCAAGTGATTCACTGTAAAGGAAATATCCGGCCTTGTAATTGCTAGGTACTGCAAACGATCAATTGCCCGGCGGTAGGTAGTGGAGTCAAACGGCGTGACATTTGTATGTAAATCAGCTGACGAACACATTGGAGTAGACACCGGCTTCGCCCCCGTCATAGTAAACTGCTCCAGAATATTGACCACATACTGGCTTTGTGACAAAAACATGCCAGAAGCAGTAGACACCACCTCAACACCTAAAAAATGGTGTAAAGGTCCCAAATCCTTCAATGAGAAGCGGTCTACAAGCCGCCGGATAAAGGCCGCGATGAATGCTTCATTATTTCCTGTTACAATTATGTCATCGACATAGACCAGAAAGTACAGAGTGACACTACTGGAGCAATAAACAAACAAGGAAGTGTCTGCTACAGATTTTCTTAAAACCCACATAAACTAAAAATCAAATAGTTCAATATACCAAGCCCTCGGGGCCTGTTTTAAACCATAAATTGCCTTCTTTAATCGACAAACATAATCCGATCGCTTTTCATCAAAAAAAAAACCCGCCGGTTGTTGCATGTAGACTTCTTCATAGAGTGTGCCATTTAAGAAGGCATTGTTGAAATCCAGCTGTCGTAACGCCCAGCCCTGTGACAAAGCTATACTCAAAATGACACGAACAGTAACCGGCTTAACTACCGGACTAAAAGTCTCAAAGTAGTCACACCCTGGTTCTTGTAGAAAGCCCTTGGAAGCCAGCCAGGCTTTGAACCTGTCCACAGAGCCATCGGCCTTGCGCTTCACCCGGAACACCCACTTGCAGCCGACGTCATTGTTATTGGCCCGGGGCACTAACTCCTAAGTGCAGTTCCTCACTAACGCAGTAAACTCATCCGTCATAGCAGCCCGCCATAAATCATCCTTCAAAGCATAGTTGCCAGTTCGCGGTTCTAGGGAAGAAGCAACAGGATGTGAAGTTGTGAGATTGACGAACTTATCTCCATAATACCTGGGATTCAGTCGTCGTGGATGAGTAGACCTCCGCACCGGGACAACCCCCACCTGTTGATCGATCGAGGACATTGCCATAGAACCTACAGAACCAGCAATTGACACTGCCGCCTTAGTAGCTGCGACCTCCACCGGAGCCTCTCGTTGCGAATGATCCTCAGCCGGCAGAGAAGCTGCAGCAACCATAGGCACCGGCAAGTCAGGCGTCGAGGATCGTCGAGTGGGCACGGCGGACATAGACGACTCCGAACCAGTGGGCTGCAGCGCTGGGTGAACCTGCGACGCACCACCAGTCGGCGCGGCTACCGGAGCCTCCACAAGTAGCGCTGGTTGAGTCGTGGTCGGTGAGGAAGCCGCAGTTGAGACCGATGTTGTTGCCGCTGCTCGGAGGTGAACCAAAAGGCAAGGGTTATACCATAGACCATGGTCCATCTTGCAAGGTAGACCTGGGTTCAAATTACACAGTTTACATATTAAATATTCATAATTTACCTTTTAGAAAATTGTGAACATTAAATATGTAAATTATGAAACATTTAATATGTAAATTGTGTATTTTGGGCCGGAGTCTACCTTGCAAGGTAGATGCAGGTCCAGAGAATAATTTGCCAGCAAAAGGAGGAGCACAATGGACAGCGGATCCTCATGGGCCGAAGGAGGGTACCATGCCCAATCCTTGCATACAAATAGTCCATGCAAGGGGATTGTCAATTTCTCTCTAGCTAACTTTACTAACCAAGTTTAGTTTCCTAGTCTTTTCTTTCTCATGAAAATACGGGTACCATGCCTAATCATTATGTCGAATCCCGCGATTTGAGAGAAGAGATTAAAGTTCAAAATTTGACAACAACATGAGTTATAGTGATTTACATTCTCTCACATGTTCGATCAGAATGAAGATTCAATCTTTTAGGAGAAGATATACTATGGTCAAAATGGTCCATGTATACTGCATCATATCTGTCATAGAATATAAAATAATCAAACTCACCTACTATTGTGGATTATAATATTAATTTATTGTTTGTCGTTATTACTTATTATCATCACCTGGGGTTAGAATATAATATTAATTTGTTTATATAATATTACTCCGAGACATGATCCGATCTTTATTACTCACCATGTTCGAAACAAATCTTTATATAAAAGTATCCACATATAATTAACAATTCAAATAAGATATCATCATTAATTCAAAGGTATTTATTAAATAAGCCCTATTCGAATTAATTAATATTTATACTAATTTTGTTTTGTTTTTTAAAAATGAAATCAAAATATATAAAATAAAAGGCAAGTAGCTCCACACTTGTCTGTACACTCAGTTTTATCAATTTTTTGAGTTTTGAATCTATCTTCGGTAAGATTCAAACATCACCTTATTGTTGGAGTAAAACTTTCAAGATGACACTTGAACCATTGAGTTAAGCTCAATGAGAATATCTATATTTTTATTTGTTATTGTAAAATTAATTCAAATTTAATTTAGTTCCATCACTAATACTTAACTCTTATTCAATAATAATAATTACTATTATTTCTGTCAACACTTGCTCTAAATTTGGAAGTGTCATTTTTGTTCAAGTTCACCTATGATTTATTTGAGTGTTTGAAAAAATCGTAGTAATCTATTGTCCGTATCTTTAGAATTCAACGATTCGACGCCCCTAGCACGGTTAAAAGAAAACGAATTAATTTTAAGGAAATTGTGTATGATACAAACTATAAATTTTCCATATTATTACCATGGTTGAATTTTTGAGAATATTTTTGAATTATTAATTTCCCTCTACTACCATACAACGTGCTTACCAAAGTATTCCTTATTTATTTAATTTTTTTTTGAAAGCTAGTGACACTATTACGTTGTAGTATTGTTCATTTATACTTTCTCAATCTGTTGAAGTACAAAGAGTCAATATCGCCTTTACTCAGGCTCGATCCCACGATCTCTAATATGAGAGAGTCAGTGCATGTCATTTGATCAAAGTTGCTTGACAAGTACTCCGTATTTAATTGATTTGACGTGGCAAGGCTTCGTCAAAACCATACTGCATTTATATATTTAGCTCGGCCTATTCATATTGGAATATTATTGGATGATTTGGATCAACAACTTGATCTGCTTTCTCCGTCACCGGCGCCCGAAGAAGATTCTCTTTAAGAAAGCTTTTTCCGGCCATGGCGGCTTACTCATCATCTTCCTGCTTTTTTCCCCTTAGAAATGGGATAATTATTTGTTTATCTCTTGCTCTGTTCCTGTCAAGGGGAGTACTTACTCACGTCACAGGATGCTACAACTCCATCATCAGTTTCGGAGATTCTCTCGCCGACACCGGAAACCTCTTCCACATGTCGGAATCCGGCAACGGCGTCCCCTCCTCTGTGCCTCCCTACGGTGAAACTTTCTTCCGACACCCCACCGGTCGCTTCTCCGATGGCCGTCTTATTATAGACTTCATAGGTATGCTATCGTTGAATATATTTAATTATGTGAAAAGATGCTTTTAGCCTTTCATTTATTAGTAGTAAAATAACCTCATTATTGTACTTTTGATGGTTTTGGTCTTTCTATTCTTATCCCAAATATTGTCATTGAATCATTAAGCTAAATTGTACGGATTGGTTTTGGTCTTTCTAGCATGTTTTGAATATTTACCCATATTTTCACCTTATCCCATCATTATTTAATGGGAAAATTGTAATTTATGCCACTCACAAATATGCCAATTATCAATGTTATCCCTAAATTATTAGTGGTGTAAATGTTGCCCCTCAATTTTCAAAACGTGACATATATTGTCCCTCTCTTGAATTATTGGTGATGTAAATGTGGTTACCCGTCGTCTTTCTTGTTCGAAGACCACGTTTTTTTCCTCAACTTTTCTTTCTTCAACTGTTCTCCTTCCGTCGACAACAATTTTTCTCCTTCTTCATATTAGGGGAGAGGTAATATATGTCACGTTTTGAAAATTGAGGGGCAAGATTTACACCACTGAAAATTCAAGAGTGACATTGATAATTGACATATTTGTGAGGGGCATAAATTATAATTTTTCCTTATTTAATCATTTCAACCCAAAACTAGCTACTATATTTGAGGAATACAACAGTGAAATTAAAGATACATTTAAGAATTCGAAAAATAACTTTAAAAATTATTTTTTCTTGAATTCTTTTCGTAGTTGGATATTCAATAAAAATAAAATCAAAAGAAAATATTAATTCTGGCTATTTATTTACTCTAAATTTTCATATCTTTTCAAACTAATTTTTGAATTTATATTACCATCAGCACAATAAAAATTATTCCCATTAATTTTATAAATTAAATTATTATGAATTGGGCATATATGTAGCATTGAGTTTGGGGCTTCCATTGGTGCAACCATACTTCTCCGGCAAAGGCATGGGAGAAAGGAATTTTTTGAAAGGGGTGAACTTCGCCGTCGCCGGAGCTACGGCGGTGGATTTCTCATTTTATCACGAGAGAGGAATCTTCAGTGGAGTCACCAATGTTTCTCTTGGAGATGAACTAGGTTGGTTTAAGGAAATGTTGCCATCTTTTTGCGGCTCCCCTTCAGGTAAGTCCGTTTCTTTTCTTCATGTATTCACAATTCATGTAGTGTATCAATAATGTTCCTTCACTTTAAATTAAACATTCATTACTTTATTCAAAAGTACCGATTAGAGGCCACACGAGCTAAGCTCAGTAATTTAGTAGACAATATTTTGAAAACAGAAAAGTATTAAGTATCTATTAAAATTTTAAAATAATAAATAAGTTAAAAATGATTGGTCTAAAGGGTGCATTTAGTAGGGTGCTTGAAGGGTCCATCATTCTGACGTCTCTAAAATGTTGTTTTGATGAACTTTGGTTCAAATTTTTGGTCGCTCCGACTCTAAAAGTTATAACTAGAGAGAAAGGGTTTAGTAGTAGTCGAGCGTTTATATAAGATTTTTTTTTTGTTCGATTGTTTAAATTAAATGATTTTTTTTGTCCAAATTATTGATATATTTTTTTGGTGACGAAGAAAATCGCAATTACTACTTAAGACTTGAGAGTGTGTATTAAATAAATCTCGCATTGTGACCCTACCCAACAAAGGACTACAATAATGAGATCATTTAAACTACCTTAGTTTACTTATAACTAATTAACCGACTCAAGTACAAAATGTTAATAGATCGCTCTCACTGAAAATCAAATTTAAAACATTATAGTTACCAAGTCAACATGTTCACCAATTTAGTTAGGTTGTCCAAATTATTGTTTGCGAAAAAGGCATTGATCTTATTGGAAATTACTATGTGGACTCTCAAGTTCTACTCCTAAATTTTACTCCATTTTTAAATATTTGATGTAGATATTTTTCATGGGACTCACATGATAATAATAGCTATCATTATCTACCACATTTGAGAGTAAAAGTGAAAGAGTAGAATTTAGGAGGATATGTAGTCTCAATCTTATTTGGATAAATCCTGTGACCTGTCAGTTTGTACAGGTCAGCACGAGTGTGACTATTCGGAAAAATTCACAAAAATGTGGTAGATGTGAAAAAGACATCCCTGGCTCTCAGATAGTATATATTATTCAGAAGTATGATAATCTGGGTGATTACTGATTACGTTGGTGATAAGTGATAACGTACACGTCTTCAAAACTTCAAGGTTCGAAGAACGTACCTAGACGAAAATAAAATAAAAATTTAAAAGCATTTTTTAAAAAATCATTAAGTTAAAATTTCACAAGATCAACGTACAGGTTCTTCTCATTTGAACTTATATATATATATATATATATATATATATATATATATATATATATATATATATATGGGTTCCCGTGTAGTTGTGTGTGTCCGGTGCGGTTGTGGGAGGAGATGACAGTCATTGATCTTGTTAAGATGGATGATTGGATGTCTAGGATTAACAAAATTTTAAAAAAATAAAAAAAACGCAGTGCCAATTTGGTATCTAGGTCAAATTTAAGGTGTGTGGTTTTCCTTCTTAAGGTTTGTGATTTTTGTGCTTAAGGTGAGTGTGTTTTGTATTGTGTGCTTAAGGTGCGTTAGTCGTTGAAAACTTAAGTGTCGGTCGAAAGCTTTAGGTGCGTGGTTTTTCTTTTTTAATGTGTGTGGTTTGTGTGCTTAAGGTGCGTCAGTTGTTGAAACTTAAGGTGTGTTAGCCTAAAGCTTTAGGTGCGTGGTTTTTCTTCATTAATGTGCGTCAGTCTAAAGTTTTAGGTGCGTGAGTTTTATTCTTAAGGTGCATTGTTTTCCTTTTTAAAGGGCGTTATTTTCCTTCTTAAGGTGCTTTGTTTTTCCCTCTTAAGAAAAAATAAAATAAAATGTATTTTTATTAATTTTATAAACAATTTCATGAATTTCTTTAGGTTGTCTGTCATCCCAGGTGCTCATATGTGATCATTAATGGAGGACGCACGTTTTTATTTTTCTATTTTTTTTAAATTTTATTTGATTTGAGCCATAGTATTAATAGAAGTTATGGAATGTTTGTAAGGGTGTATTTAATTTAGAGTTTTAATGACTTTTGTAAGCTTTTTAATATGAAAAAGTTTTTAAAAGTCTTTGTCCTACAGATTTTAATAGACTTGTACAAAGTTGATGAAAGTTTAAAAGATTATAGGAAAGTCTAGAAAAATTATACAAAAGTCATTTAAAATTCATCACTTCAAATGGGGTGTTTGGTTGGGAGGAAGGAAAGGAATTGCAATTTGGTGGAAAAGAATAACGTATGAATAATGTAGGAATTCAAATTACATTGTTTAGTAGAGAGTAATAGAATTATGGAGGATGAGAAGGAAAAAGTGGTATAAAGACTAAAATGTACTTGTATAATAATAATAATAATAATAATAATAATAATAATAATAATAATAATAGTAATAGTAATAATAATAGTAATAATAATAATAATAATAATAATAGTAATAATAGTAATAATAATAGTAATAATAGTAATAGTAATAGTAATAATAATTGTAATAGTAGTAGTAATAATAATAATAATAGTGATAATAATAGTAATAGTAATAATAATAGTAATAGTAATAATAATAGTAATAAAGACTAACGTAGGAATAATGTACGAATTCAAATTATATTGTTTGGTAGAGAGTAATAGAATTATGGGGGATGAGAAGGAAAAAGTGGTATAAAGACTAAAATGTACTTGTGTAATAATAATAATAATAGTAATAATAATAATAATAGTAATAATAATAATAATAATAATAATAATAATAATAATAATAATAATAATAATAGTGATAATAATCCTTTATCCTTTATATAATAAAGCTATATGGTTTGAGAAATAATTAATGTTACAATTAATGACACAACATCATTTATTAAAAAAAACATTTAAAAAATAAAATAACTATGTATTATATAATCATATAAAAAATATACTTTTGAAAAATAAAATAGCTATATATTATATAATCATATAAAAAAATATGTTCAATTAGAGTTTAAATTTACACATACAAAATTTAAAATTTGTTTTTCAAATGTAATTATCTTAGTTATTATTTGTATTGTGAAAATTATAATATAGATGAAATACAATTAAGAATAAATCAATGTAATTATGTAAATTATTTCTATAAGTTTATTTGAATATGAACATAATTAGAGATTTTATTAACCATACAAAATTATAATTTTAATTTTAATTTTAATTTTAATTTTAATTTTAATTTTAATTATAATTTTGTATTCTATAAAAATAATAAATACTTTGACCAATGGAAGCTCAAATATATTATTATATTAAATAATTTAAAATATTTTAGTTTTTTATTTTTTATTTATATTTATAATAACATAATTTTTTTCCGTGCATCGCGCGGGTGAATTACTAGTAGTAATAGTAATAGTAATAGTAATAATAATAGTAATATTAATAGGAAAGGAATTGCAATTCGGTGGAAAAGAATAACGTAGGAATAATGTAGGAATTCAAATTACATTGTTTGGTAGGGAGTAATAGAATTATGGGGGATGAGAAGGAAAAAGTGGTATAAAGACTAAAATGTACTTGTGTAATAATAATAGTGATAGTAATAGTTGTGCCTCTATATTATAGAGTTCAATATGCCTTAGAAAGGCTTTGTATAAATAGTTGTGCAAATCCTCTTTTAGACCTTTTTCTTAATACATTTTAACATATCTATAGTATCTGCTCAACAAATAAATTATATATATACCAACACTTGATTGGGATGAGACTTGAACCTAGCTAGCTAATACATTCCTTATTTAAAGCAACAATGATACCATCAAACCACAAGGTTTTTGACCCCTTCTAGACTTTATAACTTACTTGAGACTAACAAATTAAATAATTCATAAAAAACAACTAATAAATACTTATACATCTGATAAATACACTACAAATGTTAGTATAGAAAGTCAGAATTGAACTCTTTATGTTAACATCTCTTAGGACGGTAGAGCTAGGCCTCTACCATTATATCTATGGGTAGGCATATTCTCATAGACAATATTACTATGGGGAAATTGAATGATGAATTAGGGTTCGAGAGAATTGAATGATGAATTAGGGTTCAAGAGAATTAATTTCAAAATTTATATTTCAATTTTAAAAATCTTATTACTCGATTACACCTGTCTTCTTTCTAAAAATAGAAAAAATGGAAATATTTTGAACAATTGATTTGGGAAAATTAGGAACTATGTGACAAAAAATCATTTTTTTTACTTATTTTATAATTTCACAAAGGAGTGAAGGACATTGAAGAATATCCTATATATTTTTTTTAATGTAAACCACACATTATGGTCCGAGTCTTTCTCTGTCCGTTTAACGGTCCAGGTCCATTCGGTTCGCTCCGAGAGGCACAGAAGCTGACCCAAAAGGAATCATCACTTGTTAGAGTTGAACTCGAGTTATCCAGAAATTTTCCTCCACAAAGAGAGCTCATTTGCCACTTGAGCTACCCTATTGGGTTGAAGAATATTCTATATCATGCATTCATATTTAAATTTTTTTTAATTATTAGCTTTATTGCTTGGTGACAAAATAATAATATACAAATGATGATAATAAACAGAATGTAAGAAATACCTGCAAAGCTCTCTAATTCTGATGGGAGAAATTGGAGGCAATGACTATAATGATCCATTCCTACAAGGCCATTCCATAGAAGAGATTCAATCTTTTGTCCCCAACGTTATTGCAACCATTGGTGCAGCCATTAATGTAAGGACCAATTAAGCTTGTCATTTAATTTATATTACCATGCTCACAATACATAATATAAATTCAAATTTATGGGAAAAAAAGTAAATTTAGTTTTTCAATTATTCATGGAGTTAATTTCATTTTTAGTCCTAGATTTATAGGTGATAGTCCAGTTTCAGTCTTTTTTTTTTAGAACATCCACTTTTGGCCTTAATATATTATTGTTGCATGACCATTTTTGGTTCTCAGTTTAAAATTCGTTAAATACAAGGCCATTTCGGTCTTCAATTATGGAGTTTGTCAAAAAATAAACGTAACAAATATAGCAGATCAACCTATTTTGTATTAAAAAAAAAAAGATTAGAATGTCCTTATATTTAATGATATTTCAATGATTTTGTTGACGGAGGACAAAAATGGTCCTACCACAATAATACTAGGAACAAATGAAGATGTTGTGATTAAAAAAAGACTAAAAATGGAATGCCACCTATAAATATAGGACCAAAAATGGAATTAACTCATTATTCATGATTAGTCATTTTGTTCCTTTAGTATAAAAAGTTACAAAATATATATACTTTTAGTTTTGTAAGATTACTGTGAGAGTTAATTACCAAAATGGTCCCTTGACTATAGCGAAATTACCGATTTGGTCCTTTACTATTTTTTTAACCAATTAAGTCCCTTAGCTTTAAAACTTTAACCAATTTGGTCCTCCGTTTGTTTGACCGTTAGTCAACCGTTAACTTGGGACCAAATTGGTAATTTCGCTATAGTCAAGGGACCATTTTGGTAATTAACTTTAGGGGTGGGCAACTCGGTTTAGTTTTCTCGAATTGAACCGTACCGAACCAAACTAATTTGGTTCGGTAATATACCGAACAACCAAACGGTATTGGATTCTTGTATACCGAACAGTTCGATAAAAAACTGATCCGAATCAATCCGAATTGTTCGGTAACAAATTGAACTGAATCGAATACCGTTTGATTTTTTTAAAAAAAAAATATAATAATAATAATAATATAAATAAATAAATAAAAAGTAAATCCAGTCCTTGCTACTTGCTCTACTGTTCGGTTCGAGTTTTTACCGAACCGTTCGGTATACAAGAATCTATTACCGTTTGGTTGTTCGGTATATTACCGAATTTAACTAGTTTGGTACGGTTCGGTTCGAGAAAACTTAACCGAATTGCCCATCCTTAAAGTTAATTACCAAAATGGTCCCTTGACTATAGCGAATTATCAATTTGGTCCCAAGTTAACGGTTGACTAATAGTCAAACAAACGAAGGACCAAATTGATAAGATTTTTAAAGTTGAGGGACTTAATTGGTCAAAAAAAAATAGTCAAGGACCAAATTGGTAATTTCGCTATAATCAAGGGACTATTTCAGTAATTAACTCTTACTGTGACAATTTTTCAAATCTTGAGCAGAGTTGGCACCTCTGACTCTCCTTGAGAGAATGTCGTGGATTGGCGGTGGGATTTGAATTACAAACATATATGAGTGATCAAAAATCTTTTTTTTTTTTTTTTCTCTCGATATGTATTGAAAATTATGTCATTTATGTGTCTCTAAATCGTCTTTCATCTTTCTTTTTGTTTTTGTAAATAGGAATTGGTCGAACTTGGGGGTGAAACACTAGTAGTTCCAGGAGTTTTGCCGTTTGGATGTTCACCTTCATATCTATCTTTCTTTATGAATTCCACTACAAATAATGATTATGACGAAAAAACCGGTTGTATTAAGTGGCTAAATGAGTTTGCTGAGTACCATAATACACAACTTCAGAAAGAGCTTCATCGTCTCAGGGAGCTTAATCCTAATACCACCATAATGTATGCTGATTATTACCATGCTGCAATGGAATTATATGGTTCTCCAAGCAAACACGGTATTATTTTCAACCACCCACCCCTCTTTTGTTCAATAGGGACTTTTTTTTTTTTTTTTTTTTTTAAATTTATAACTAGTATGCACAATGAATAGCAATGCTAGCCATTTTAGTCATTGGGGTGTTTGGTAAATAGTTGTTAGTTGATTGAGTTAGTGAGTTTGACTAGTTGATAGCATTATAAGCTGATTGTAGAAAAATGTTTGGTAAATTAGCTGTTAGTTAATAACGGATTACATGCAAAATGACTTTCTCAAAAAGCTAGTCGAAAAAACTGCTTTGAGCAGCTTTTTGAATTTTAGCGTTTGGAGCATAAGTTGTTACAAAAGTTAATTAAACTTGACTGTTTAACCAAGTCAAACAACTAATAGTGGTCAAATAAGTCAAAATTGACTGATAAGCTAACTATATATGTTACCAAACATGACCATTATATTATCTTATTTTATGTTGTGAAAATCATAACTTACCCACATGGACAGCCCAACGGGTTATAGAGGTGAAAGTTGGAAAGAATGACCAGGGATTAAGTCTCACCAGCGGCAGTGGGTTTGTAACTCAGTTGAGGTACCATGATTTACATCCTCCCAAATATTTTTTTTGAAAGAATGAACTTTTTTTTGTAAAGATAAAGGTATATTTTGCAACGACAGAAAAGTAGGTGTTAAAACTGCTAGAGTTGCATGATTGGGGGTCTAGCAATAATGCGAAGCAAACAAGGAAACAAGCTAAGTATAATTAATATGCTCCAAAATGCATGCATTTAAGATTAACTTCATTATATTTGACAGGATTGGAGCAGTCTCTATCTGCATGTTGTGGCACTGGAGGTCCATACAATTCTAGAGTGGACATAACCTGTGGGTGTTCACCACCAATTGTATGTGATAAGCCATCATCATTTGTAAGCTGGGATGGGGTGCACTTAACAGAAGCAGCATACCAACAGATAGCCAGTATGATACTGGAAGGTCCATATATGACACCCCCCATTAATGAAGCTTGCCTTCTAAAACCTCTCAGTGATGAAGTATCAGACCATTGACATGTAAGGGCAAATTATTCTGTGGACCCGGATCCACCTTACATATACAAGGTAAATCTACGTCCAAAATACATAATTTGCATATTGAATGTTCACAATTTACATACTGAATGCTCACAATTTTGTAAAAGGTAAATTGTGAACATTTATTGTGAAAACTGTGTCTTTTGGACCCAGGTTCACCTTACAAGGTGGACTGTGGTCCATGGTATAACAATTGGACATGTATAGAGTGTTTGGCAAATTATATCGTGCACCGTGATACATAATCGATTATGTACCGAGCTTCAAAATGACGTCGTTTTGTTTAATGAAAAGAAATGTTACCCGTTTCGCGCTGTTCCGCAAAAAGTAACTCTGTTATTCAGTTTCATTTTGTATACACTGCAGTTTTAGTTTAACACAACTACAGTTTCATTTCGATATAACTACAGTTTTATTCGATATTTATACACTCAAATATGTGAAAATGTTATTTAATTTTATTTTATATACACTATAGTTTCATTAAAACACAACTACATGATCATTTCGATATAACTATATATAGCTTCATTGCACAATATACACTCAAATATGTGAAATGTTATTCAGTTTCATTTTATATACACTGTAGTTTCATTTCAACACAACTACAGTATCATTTTGATATAACTACAGTTTCGCTGGGTAAAATGCACTCAAATATGTGAAATTGTTATTCAGTTTCATTTTGTATACACTGCAGTTTCATTTCAACACAACTACAGTTTCATTTCATTTCGACCAATTGCAGTTTCACTTGATAATATAAAAATAATACGTAAGACAGTGTCAGTTTAGATACACTGTAGTTTTAGTTGGTAATTAATACACCAATGTAAGATATATTAAATATAATATATATATTATATATAATATATCTATGTATTTATATATAATAATATATAAATAGGAAGAGAGAGAAAGATTAGAATGAATAATGTTTATTCACTGGGATGATTTAACAAATGAAAATACACCACATATTTATACTAAGAGAAAACTAATAAATAGGAAGCTAATGCTCCATGTACTACTCCTATAATCTAGGCATGTTCCACATTAACATACATGACTCACCCATGTTTGTTTTTATTAAATTCTTTGACTTGGTTTAATTACTAATAATAATAATAATAATAATAATATTATTATTATTATAACATTGCCTCATTTAAACCAAGTTGGATGTATTGGTCATCCTAATATCTCCTTCTTCAATTTAAGAAATGTCTCTGTCTTCAAGTTGGATATACTGACTTGTATTTCGTTCTATAAACCCACTTTACTCCAATTGGCTTCTTCCCAGGAGGTAAATCTGTGAACTCCCAGGTACCATTCTTTTCAATGACACGTATCTCCTCATCCATCGCCTTAAGCCAATGAGTTTCTGTAGCAGCCTCCTCAAAAGTTAAAGGATCACAATCTGCAAAGAGAGCAAATTGAACAATCTCTTCATCAAACAGGTCATTATCATGACCCGAAACATAATCTTGCAAGCGAGCTGGTAAGTGGCGCTCGCGCTGAGATCGCCGAACTAACGATTCTGGCTGTGAAGGAGACTGGACATTATCTGGAATCGGTTGCTCATCAACAATATTTTCAACAACAGGAATAACAACTGAACTTTCATCTTTAGCTAACCAATCCCAGTCACCATATTCATCAAAAGTGACATCACGACTTATAACAACCTTCTTAGTTTCAGGATTGTATAGTTTATAAGCCTTTGAAGCGTCACTATAACCAATGAATATGCACTTCTCACATTTATCATCCAACTTCTTTCTCAATGGATCCGGCACGTGGGCATATGCCAAACATCCAAAAACCTTGAGATATTTGATAGAGGGTTTTCTCCCACTCCAAGCTTCTTCGGGCGTCTTATCATGGACACTCTTAGTTGGACACCTATTCAACACATAGACAGCACAAGCAACAGCTTCTGCCCAAAAAGGTTTAGGCAGATCCTTGGATTTCAACATGCACCTCACCATATCCATGATTGACCTATTCTTCCTCTCAGCCACTCCGTTTTGTTGTGGAGTGTATCTAGCTGTCATTTGGTGCTGAATACCCTTTTCTTTCATAAAATTATCACAAGCAATATATTTTGTACCTCTATCAGTTCTCAAGATTTTTACTTCATAACCACTTTGCTTTTCAACAAAAGCCTTAAATTGTTTGAAAGCATCACATGCTTCAGACTTTTGCTTCAGAAAGTAAACCCATGTTTTCCTACTAAAATCATCAATGAAAGTAATAAAGTACGTACAACCTCCATGTGAGGGAACCTCCAACGAACATAGGTCTGAGTGAATAATCTCCAACTGTTTTGTAGCTCTCCTTGACTTGCCCACGGGAAAGGGATCTATATGTTTCTTCCCAATCACACAAATCTCACATATACGATCAGGGACATTCACAACAGGTAAATCATAAACAAGTTCCTTTCTCGCAAGATAGTTTATCCCAGAGAAATGGAAATGCCCAAACCGCATATGCCATAGCCAATTATCATCACAAACTTCAGAATTAAAGCAATCAAGGAGAGTATGCTTAATTTTCAAAGGAAATAGATGATTTTGGGACATATTTACCTTTGCAATCAAAACTCCTTTAGCATCTGCAATGGTACAACACCCCTGAGCAATATGTATCTTATATCCTTTTTCTGACAACTGACCCATAATCAACAAATTTTGGTGTAGTTCAGGAACATAGAACACATCGGATATAAAATTGTGAGCACCATCCTTCAATTTGAGATTTTACCTTTTCCCAAAATTGGCACTTTTGACTTGTTGCCAAATGTCACTTCAGACCGGACTGATTCATCCAGTTCAGAAAACAATTCTTTCTTCCCACACATATGGTTACTACACCCAGTATCCAAGAACCATATGTTCTTATCTGCAGAAAAACTATCGCTGGCTAAAAGTAAAGTTTCAGAACTCTCACCAGACTTTTCAGCAGTGTTTTCAGCAATGTTTGCTTGATTTCCACGATTGTTGTCCTCATTATACCAACAATCTGCAATCTTTTGCCCATACTTGCCACAATTGTAGCAATGAAATGGAAATTTACCTTGTTTGGTATTACCTCCACCTCTTCCTTGGTTGGAGTTACCACGTCCTCCTCCTTGGTTGAAGTTACCACGACCTCTTCCACTAGAACCTCCTCTTCCTCTTCCACGACCTCTACCAGATCCTCCACCTCTTTGATTAGTGCCAGCCACATTAAGGGTGACTTGACTCTTCAAAGCTTCTTCTGCTAGTGGTTCCGATTTTGACGCAATTCTGTCAATATGACTTTCTACCATACCTTTCAGCTCTGCAATTGATAAGAGCTCGGTTTTGTGTGACTCTGTTATTGAAGCCACCACATGGTCATACTTCATCGGCATAGTTCGAAGAACTTTTTCAACCACTGCACCATCTTCAATTGTATCTCCGTATAACCTCATTTTATTCACCATATCAATAAGACGAGTGAAATACATATCTACTGTTTCTGTAGAGGTCATCTCACAATTATCGTACAACCTTCTCAAAACTGCAACTTAGACTTCTGTGCCCGATCGACTCCTTTGTGTGACACCTTTAAGATGTCCCAAGCTTGTTTTGCTGTTTGAGCACGAGCTAATTGCCCAAAAATGGAATAATGAACACCTTGGTGAATCTGACCCAAGGCCAATTTATCTCGTCGTATAGCGTCTGCATCAGCTCCTTCGGGTAGACCGGGATCAACAAAGCTCCAAAGATTTTGAGCTTGCAAATGTGTGGACATCATAATTTGCCAATAATTGTAATCGAGTTTTTCGTCCAATTTGGGACCCGACCATACAATATTGAAATTTGTTGCCATATTTCACTACGGGAAATATTTCGGGGTTGAAAGGTTGACTGGCTCTAATACCAAATGTAAGATATATTAAATATAATATATATATTATATATAATATATCTATGTATTTATATATAATAATATATAAATAGGAAGAGAGAGAGAAAGATTAGAATGAATAATGTTTATTCACTGGGATGATTTAACAAATGAAAATACACCACATATTTATACTAAGAGAAAACTAATAAATAGGAAGCTAATGCTCCATGTACTACTCCTATAATCTAGGCATGTTCCACATTAACATACATGACTCACCCATGTTTGTTTTTATTAAATTCTTTGACTTGGTTTAATTACTAATAATAATAATATTATTATTGGTGTATTAATTACCAACACAACTACAGTTTCATTTCATTTCGACCAATTGCAGTTTCACTTGATAATATAAAAATAATACGTAAGACAGTGTCAGTTTAGATACACTGTAGTTTTAGTTGGTAATTAATACACCAAACATGCGCGCTCCGTTAACTGTAATAGCGCGCCGTTTTTTTACTTAAAGAAACGATGCCCTTTTTTACCGCGGTGCACCCACAATATAATTGCTGATAGTGTTTGTGTTGGGCTGTGTACCACTTGGGCTTAAATAGACACATTCTACACTTTGTGTTTGTTGAAGAGGAAATGCAATTGTTATACTCTGGGTGTTCAGATCAATCGTTATACCCTACACCACGGCGCGCGTAGCACTGTGCGTCGCGCGCCTCCCAAAACGACGTCGTTTTGGGAGGCGCGGTAGGAAGTTGCTGTGATTATGTGTATTTGTTCACACAATTATGTGTATTTGTTCATACAGTTATGTACATTTTTTATACAATTATGTACATTCTTTTTATACAATTATGTACATTCGAATCAGAAAATTTGTGTGTATTATGTTAAGAGTTGATGTGTATTATGTTAAAAGTTTATGTTTATTATGTATTATGTTAGATTATGTGTATTAACTTTTAAAAAGAGTATGTATATTTTGTTATATAATTATGTACATTCATGTATACAATTATGTGTATTCTAGTATAACATTATGTACATTTTTGAACAACGGGTTTTTTTAAAGAAAAAATTACTACCATTCACTAGGGCGGGAAATTTCAAAAAAAATAAAATAAAATTAAAACGACGTCGTTTTGCATCTGGGCGCACAGTGCAACGCGCGCCGTGGTGTAGGATATAAATTGCATGTTCAGATTATGTACGTACTATCGTTATGCTATGGATCTGTGTCCAGCATGCATTGTGGACACGGTAACGGTGTCATTAGTGGCACCGTTATCTTCCACCATTTTTTTATTTTTTATTTTAAAGTTTCAAACCGCTTTGTTATAGGAGCATATGTTCATAATTTTATTACTATATGTTCATAATTGTAAGTTCATAATGTCAGAGCTCTGTGTTCATAATTCCATAACTGTACATTCATAATTGCATAACTGTACATTCATACTTCCGTAACTGTACATTCATAATTCCGTAACTGTACATTCATAATTCAATAACTGTAAATTCATAATTTTCGAAGCTATATATTCACAATTTTAGAGCTCTATGTTCATAATTTTATCACTATATGTTCATAATTGTAAGTTCATAATGTCAGAGCTCTGTGTTCATAATTCCATAACTTACATTCATAATTTCATATCTGTACATTCATAATTACATAACTGTACATTCATAATTCCATAACTGTACATTCATAATTTCCACAAACGAATAACGCCGTTAATGGAGACAAAAGCATTTTTTTTTAACTGAAATGCCGCATTTTCCCTAAAAATGACGTCGTTTTGCATTGTGGACACGAGTACACATCATAATTTGCGGATTATGTATATGTAGTTAATATATTATATAATTTTAGTTAATAAATTATGTATTTATTATAATTAATAGATCATGTACTTACCGTTAGTAAATTATATATTTTGTATCTATTATAATTAAGGGATAAAGTACAAATAAGCCACTGAACTATTTGAAAAACAGCAATTAAGTCATCGAACTTAAATAATCCCTAAATAAGCCATTTAACCCGGAAAAAAAAAAGAGCAAATAAGCCATTGAATTCAGAAAAAAGAGCAATTGACATTTTTAACATGGTAACTCTAGGTTTTTGTTGACTAGATTGCCAAATGTTTATTTTATTTACGTTTCTTTTATTATAATCAACCTACATAGTAATAGATTTTAAAGTAATTATAATCAAAATAGTTTTGTCTTGTCGAGATTTGATTTGATTTATTTATTATTTTTTCACTGGATCTTCTGTTTAAAAAATAATAATTAATTAATAAATTAGATCTAGACAAAACAAAACTATTTCGATTATAATTACTTTAAAATATATCACTATGTAGGTGGATTATAATAAAAAAACATAAATAAAGTAAACATTTGTCAACCCAGTCAGCAAAAACTAGGGGTGTAAACGAGCCGAGCCGAGCGCGAGCCTGGGTAGGCTCATGCTCGTGCTCGTTAATGATAGCACTGTTCGAGCTCGAGCTCGAGCTCGTGAACTGATGCTCGAGTTCGAGCTCATCAATTGTCGAGCTGCTCGAGCTCGAGCAGCTCGATTGTTCGAGCTCGAGTTCAGGCTCGAATTCGAGCTAGAGTTCAGGATCGAATTTGAGCTCAATTTTGGTCTGGAATTTGACATGTTTAATTTAAAATTTAAACTACTTTGTTTTATGACTTTTATCCATACATAATTATTAAGTATTTTAATTTCCCTCACCTAATTATTATTTTTATATACTAAATATAATTATATTATGTTATATATTATATATTATATAATATATTATAAGGCTCGCGAGCGTCTCGTCGAGCCGCGAGCCTACAATTCTTAAGCTCGGCTCGTGCTCGTTTAATCCACGAGCTGCTCGAGCTCGAGCTCGAGCCGAGCTCGATTTTGACCGAGTACGAGCCGAGCATTGACCGAACCACTCACGAGCGACTCGACTCATTTACACCCCTAGCAAAAACCTAGAGTTAACCTGTTAAAAATGTTAATTGTTTTTTTTTCCCGAGTTCAATGGCTTATTTGGGGATTATTTGAGTTCGGTGGCTTAATTGCTATTTCCCAAATAGTTCAATGACTTATTTGTATATCCCTATAATTAATGTATTATGTGTCTGTCGTTAACATATTATGCATCTTTAGCTTATTATATATACATAACCTATTAATTGAAGGTACATAATATGTTAATGGTAAGTACATAATCTGAATATTGTTTTAGATCAGGGTCCACAATGTAAAGTGTTTCCACGTTATATTTCAAAATTTCTATTCAATAGACGAGTCAGACCGGGTATTTCAAAACCTTCAATAAGTTTTGAGTAATATACACATACTTCCATATTCTACTCCACTTTCTACTTCATACTCACATGTCATCTTTTGATTCATTCAAAAAAAAATGTAGACTAGAGTTTTTATTATTTTATTTCCATCCTCCTCCAATAAAATCAAAGCACATGGCAGGAGTTTTACTCCCTTGGAATTCATTTATCATTTTTTAAAAGTTTTATTTCTTTTTTAGTATTTCATGATGTGACTCCGTGACTAATTGATATGATATCACTATTGGGGTCGTTTGGTTCATGGAATGTCAGATTACCTTAGGGAATGTTAGATTGCTGGGAATGTTAAATTACTAGGAATGTTAGATTCTTGTGTTTGGTTAAAATTGGAGTATGTAATATAATCATGTTTGGTTTAGGGTTATCTTTTATCCACACACTATAATATCAGTAACATATTTTCATATATTTTAATAAATTTAAAAATTAAAATAAATAAATAACATAACGGTATCATATGTAATTACATGATTTTAAAATATTAACTAAAATCTTAAACTTGAGAAACAAAATTATTTTATATGGTAACCTAACATAATAAAAATAAAACTCACCAAAAAAAAAAACATAATAAAAATAAAAAATATATAATTACAAAAATAATTATGTGTGTGTTTCTCTCCCCTCACCCTTTTAGGTTGCATGACAAAAATTTGCAAAAATCTCCATATGAAGGAGATGCTCTTAGGAGACTATTTTATTTTGTTTTGTTTTGCTTTACTTTTTGTTCCCTTGTCTTATTTGATTTTTTTTTGACCAATTATAATTAGGGAGTACAAAAATAAGTAAAATTACACTTGTGTAATACTGTCTCACGGATCTTAATTGTGAGGCAGTCAAATCTAGGATAGTTGCTCGTTACTTATAATAGAAATTGCAATACCTATTACGGGAAATTTAATATAAATTTGAAATTAATAAACTTTCATTTATAATAGATATTGTAATATTTATATGTAAAATTGTGATACTATTTAGGGTAAAATGATTGTTACTAATTATAGATTTCGTAATACTTATAATTGAAATTGTGATACTTACAAAGTGTAATTCTATTGTAAATATTGTAATACTTATATGTGTAATGTTACTTATGAAATAAATTGTAATACTTATTGTAGAAAATTTAATACCAATTTGAATTAAAAATAAATCATTACTTATATGTGAAATTGATGTGATACTATTTAGGGTAAAATTGATTGTTACTAATGATTAATATTGTAACATTTATAAATGAAATTGTGATACTTATTACTCACTCATTTGTCTACAACCGACCCGTCTCATGAACAAAAACCAGTGAGACGGTCTCACACAAGTTTTTTGCAAATCAAAAAATCTGAACCATTCATTTTCAAAAAAAAAACAATTAAACCAACATTTTTAAATTTTCGTTATAGGCATATAACTTTATTGGCTGTAATTAGACACCACTACAAAAATAGCATTTAAATATAACTTTTCACAACACTTTTTAATAAAAGTATAGTGTAAAGTTGAAAAAAAATGCAATGACAAAACCATAAATATATATATATATATATATATATATATATATATATATATATATATATATATATATATATATATATATATATGAAAATGCAAAATTTTTTTAAAAATATGTCGCGATTTTTTTTTTTTTTTGGTTGCCCAAAGATATTCGTCCCGTCGATGGCTAGAAGACTAATTCCCTTTTTTTGGTTGCCCAAAGGTATCCCTCCAGACGATAGCCAGAAGACTAACCTCCCGTCCCTACTGTACTGTGAGCACACTAAGTGGTAGGGGACTGGCCAAATGATTTGCTATTTTGCTCCATTCACACGGGTGAGAATCGAACTCCCAACCTCATGCTTAAGTAGGGCTGTGCTAAAACCAAAAAATTCGACCCGCCCGCCCGACTCGCAAACCGAGGAGAGGCAATCCGGACCGATTCGAATCCGAACACCATAATCCGACCCAAGCCGTATAATAAGTCGGCTTATGTCTTTCGTATTGGGTAGTGTATTTGTTGACCCGAACCGTCCGAATATGCGAAAGTAATTAGGCTTAGGGTTTTGCTGCAATCCATACGACATCGTTCTAGCTAGTATATATATACATATTTACCCACTGATTCAGCCATTCTCCACATTTTGAGCGCAGTTGCATTTCTCCTTCTTTGTTCTCGACTTCTCTCTTCTCTCTTCTCTCGTGACTCTCTTCAGTCTTCTCTACTTCCTCTGATTCTCTCATTCTCTCAGTTCTAAGAGTCTAAGTGAAGATTGAGTTGAGGAAGTTGCAGATTTTTCTGTCGGGGGAGATGGAGTTTGCTTCGTCAAGCCGTCGAGGAGTTGGAGTCGGAGTTGAAGAGTCTCGACGTCGCTTTCGTACTGGACTACTGGTGGAAACCCTAGCCCTTAGAAAGCGTGGTGGTGAACGGGTAAGTGGTAACTCGCAAACCCTAGTTTTATTTTTTCAATTTATCCATTTTGTTGTCATATATTATGAATCTCGACGTAGAGGACTCTGCTTCAGAATTCAGAGGAGGAGAATATGCTAGCCATGGAGTCCGTCGAGGAGTTGGAGTCAGAGACTTGGAGTTGAAGTGTCTCGACGCCGCCTTCATACTGGACTACTAGTGGAAACCCTAGCCCTTAGCAAGCATGGTGGTGAACTGGCCGGTAACTCGCAAACCCTAAATATATTATGAATATATGATGACTGTGATTCTGTGCTTACAAAGATGATGAAAATATATTCTGAATTTTTGATAGGTTCTTAAAATGCGTGTAAATATATAGTGTGAAAGCATATAAGTTGCTATTATGATATAATATGGCCATATGAATGGTTGATCACAAAAATGATGAAATATGTGTTCTGATTTTGTGATTCTGTGGTTAAAATTCATGTAAGTATATTTTGTGGAAGCTTATACGTTGCTACTGTAATACAATATGGCCATATGAATAGTTGATCACAAAAAATGATGAAATATGTTCTGATTTTTGTAGCTTATTGTAAGTATGTAATGGTGAACTGTGATTAAATTCTTTTGCTGGATGTTTTCTGTATTTCTGCTAATCTGTATGTGATTTATGGTGGAAGCCTAATATGTTTTATGTGGATTATTGAATTGTGATTTGTGACTTGTGACTTTGTGAGGTAAACTGACAGTTGGGACATTAACTTGGCAACAATTGAATTGTTATTCTGATCTGTATGAGTGTTGGATTGTTATGTGATTTATGGTGGAAGCCTAATCTGATTTATGTGGATTATTGAATTGTGATTTGTGACTTGTGAGGTAAATTGACAGTTGGGACAATAACTTGGCAACAATTGAATTGTTACTGCCCTTAATTTCTTTCCATGAGGCCCATTGAGTATAAAATAGGTATCATTTAATCGTCTGAACTCGTTCGATGCACACCCTTTTAATCAGTTCAATAGGCCTTTAAACCTTTTGTCTTGATTCTTTGAATCTTGATTGAATGGTCTTATGGCCAATTTGATATGGTATATCACTCCATTACTCTCATTTACTTTTTAAATTAGTTCTTAATTCTTAAGGCTTAATGTTTATTGTTTACTAATTACTATTTTGTTAGTTATGATGATGCTTCCACTATTTGTTTGAATCAAAGGACTTTGAATTGGTATGTTGCTCATGAGTTTTATACTTTGTTCCGAAACTCACAGTAGCAATTTACCTCCAATCCTACCTTGATATGGAAAATAGCAATCTGAGTCTTTTTTTCTTTCTCAGCATCCCACATGTAATTATTGTGCATTTTTGTTATGTTATTTGAGCAAGAAAATGCTAAACTAGTCCCAGGGACCTAGTCTGTTGATTCATGAAGTTGTTATACATTGAAGTTCTAGGTTGTAACTCGCTAACTTCTAATTACTATTTATTAATTTGTAAATTGTAAGTTGTAACATTTGAACTAAAAAATAGTGTATTTTGTATTTTGTACTTTTTGTTTTACAAAAATCCGAACAAAAACCGACATCCGACTTTAACCGTCCGAATCCGAAATTATAAATATCCGAAGATTTTAACTAATTAAATAAACGGATTGGATGTTAAAATTAAATACCGAAATCTGAACGAGTTGGCGGTTCATACATTCGAACAGTCCGTACCCGTTTCATGCACACCCCTATATTTAGGGCTGTTAACGAACCGAACATAAACGAACGGAGGTTGTTCGTGTTCGTTTGTTAAGGAATTTGGAGTGTTTGTGTTCGTGTTCGTTTGTTAAGGTTTTTGAAAATCCTGTTCGTGTTCGTTTGTTAAGCGTTTGTTAGTGTTCATTAACGTTCGCGAACATGTTCACGAACGTGTTCGTTAACGTTAATGAACATGTTCGCGAACGTGTTTGTTAACGTTCGTGAACACGTCCGCAAACGTGTTCGTTAACGTTAACAAACACGTTCACAAACATGTTTATTAACAAGCACGTTCACGAACATATTCATTTACGTTCATGAATACTTAAACAAACACCTGCACATGTTCATGATCACAATTCGTTCGTGAACAATAAATAATATACGTTCACGAACAATAATCAAACAAACAACACAACTACAAAACTAACATACTATAATATAATATATGTTTGTGAACATGTTCGCGAACATTATTAAACGAACACAAACGAGCTTGTTCACGAACATTATTAAACGAACATAAATGAGCTTGTTCACGAACATTAGTAAACAAACACAAACGAGCTTGTTCATGATCTCTTAGCAAACGAGCTTAGCTCTGTTCATTTATTAACCGAGCTCTAAATTTTGTTTGTTAATGTTCGTTTACCTTAACAAACGAACATAAATGAACGCTTACCGAATACGAACACGAGTAGTTTGTCGAAAGCTCTATTCGCTAACACCCCTACCTATATTTAAGGGACAAGGTGCTGAACCACATGCTAATCATGTTGGTTAATATGTGAGCAAATACCAATTTTGGTCCCATGAGTATTAACAAAATGACAATTTTGGTCCACATGTTTAATTCATACCAATTTTCATCCACGACTATTGATTTAGTACCAATTTCATCAACAACTATTGCTTTAATGCCAAAATTCATCACGCCGGTCACCCCTTCGTTTAAGACATGCCGGAATATGAAATTATTAAGGGTAGTTTCGTGCTTTTCAAATTAGGATTCATATTTGAGCATGAATAAAGGGATTTAAGCCATAAGATCTATCCCAATTCGCAGTTTTCCTCCTCAAACTAATGTAGGATGAGGAGGAGAACAGCGAATTGGGATCAATCTTTGGGCTTAAATTCATTTATTTATGCTCAAATTGGAATATTAAGTTGAAAAGGACGAAAATGCCCTTAAAATTTTTAGATTTCGGGATGTTTTAAATAGATGGGTGATCGACGTGATCAATTTTGGTACTAAAATAATAGTCGTGGATTAAAATTGGTACAAAAACAATAACCGTGGATGAATATTGGTAAGAATTAAATATGTGGACTAAAACCGTCATTTGACTAATACTCGTGGGACTAAAATTGGTATTTACTCGTTAATATGTCGTAATTTGTTAAAATAATGGGATTACTTGTATCGCAAAAAGTAAAAATAATAAAATAATATATTGACTTTCCGCGACACTTACTAACGGGTCTATTGCGAAAAGCCAACTCTAATTAATAATCCTCCGTAATAATATTAATAATATATTTACGACACCAGCAACCCGGGCGTGTCGCGTAAAGTAACAATAAAATTTTTAAAAATCAGATCGCAAAGATCTCAGTCTCATTCCATATCTTCTCTCCTCTCCTCTCTTCCTTTCCTCCTCGTGAATCAGAGATCTCAGCCGGACGTGATGCCATCGCCGTCCTCTCCTCACTTCACCGCTGGTTTATTTGCTTCTGTAAGATCCGGCCATCAGATCTACGCTCAGATGGAAGAGAGGTATAATATTGGGTTTATTAACTTACTGTAAATCCAATACATTATATCTTTTCATCAGATCTACGCTCAGATGCAGACACTCTCTCGTTCTTGTTTATCGCCTTCGGCGATTTCCGGCGCCGACCTACTCGGTGGCCCGTCTTGCCGGTTATTGTCTACGGAGACTCTCTCGGGGAGACGTTCTTTAGATCTGTCCGCCATCGTTTAGATCTCGTAAGCTCCCTATTTTTTATTTTTTATTTATTTTTATTTTTTTATTCTTCCTCCTCCTCACACATTTTTATTGTTGTAATGTTTTGACGGCCGGCCGGTTTCAAGCACAGGTGGACTGGCCGATATGAAGCACAGAGTAAGAAAGGAAGACAATGTTAGTTCTTCATCATCTTTCTGTTTTTATTTTATTTTTAAGAATTTCGATCTTTTCCTGGAAGAAATTAGTTGAAGTATAGTTGTAAAAAATCACTACCGTTTTTATTTTATTTAATTAAATTTTTTTTCCTGATTTCTTGGTTTTCTGCAATGGTGACTGTACCGGATGGTGATGAAATGAAATTGTAGTATATTTGGGTAAGTTTTCTGTCATTTTCTGCAATGTTTTATTAAATCTTTTTTCTTAAACAGATAATTCAAAAAGCAAAAAATCTTTTTTTTATATTTGAAATTGTGGTACAATTACATACTGGGTATAAAACTGAGTTGGAATAATTCAATAATGGATCTCATCTCATCTGGATTTACAGTATTTTGGGAAAAAAAAATGCTTTACTGGGTGTGTTCTTTCTTGTTGCCCCAGGAAGATGGGGAGAATGAATGTAAGTCAACTGAGGTGTATTTATGCATGAACTTAAAATCCAAGGGAGATTCTAGATGAATCTTAATCACATACTTAGGTATGGTCATCCTGTCATGTAACCAAAGAAATATATTTCTGTAAAATTGTAAATGTTTTGTGTGACTATAGGCCTCACATGATTCATTTTTGACAGGTATCTTGTGGTTGGAAACACACGGTGGCAATTTCTGGTAATGCTATTATTTTATTTATCTTTAGAGTATCAAATATTTTTGTTTCAATATAAATGATTTAATTTTTGTTGGTGTTGATCTCCTTATCATTCTTTTGGGTATGGAGTTGTTCTGCTTCTTCTAGCCGAGGGTGGCCGATTTGTGCCCCCATTATCTATTTTCTTGCTTGGTTTTATTTTTATTTTTATACTGGGTTATTCTGCCTAATTCATTTTTCTTGCAATTTTTTGTTCTGTGATTTTCTATAGATTATTGTGTTTGTTCCTTTCCTTTAGCTGTGCACCCATTCTTGTGTTGTTTTGCTATTTTTTGTGTATTCTTTTTCCTGGTTTTGGCTTACCGAGTTTTTGGTCACCATTCTTTGGATTTGCAGAAGCTCACCGGTGAATGATTGGGCTTGTCTTAGACCATCAATATAGTGGTCTATCTTGGTGGATTTTCTGATTCAAAATCTCCCCTTTTTGGGACTTACAACTGCTATGTGACAGATTGTCTGCCCCAAATCTTTTAATTAGTCAACATTTGTGTTTTCTTTTGAATTTCTATTTTTTGTTTCTTTTGGATTAGTCTTTATGGCTTTGACTAATTTAGTCTCGGCTGCGGACCTAATCCAAATCCTTGGTGAAAATGACATCCTCGGTGAGGACATTGCCGGTAGTGTGACCATTCCCAGTCCTATCATTCCTGCCTCCCAAGCCACGTCTTTTGATCCCATCGTGCATTCGTGCCCGAGCTTAATGGCAATCTAAGAGGATTCTAGACCAATTGCCCAAAATTCCAAGGTAAAATTGGGGAAAATCTTTGAATGGGCTGATCTGTTTAGAGAAAGCCAAGAAACGATTGACCCTGATTTTAAATTGGAATTTTTAAGGCAAACTAATGGAGAAGTAACTCTTTACAAGACTGAAGTGTTTACCGTAAAAAAAGGACTGGGCCTTTGGCCTTTTATGCTCTTTTCAGTTCTTTTTATTTTTGAAAATGATTTTCATTATTATTTTTTGAACTTTGTAATCTGGTTTTTCTTGCATTTTTTGGGTATTTATTCTTTGCGTTAATTTCCTTCTTTTGTTTCCATTCATTTTATTTTTATATAACATTATAACGTTCTTTCTACATATTTTTTGTTTTCATTGTATATTCTCAAAGTTATTTTGCAGTTTAGTACTATTATATTTTAAAAGAGGGAACATAATTTTTATGCAGATGTTACAGCTTCTTCTAGTGAGTCCAATTCTACCATCTCCAGTGAGAGGATGTTGCAGAATCTGCAGAAGCTAAAGAGGATAGTTCTGAAATGACTCTCCTTGATATGTATTCTGGTTGTGGTGTTAATCTGGTTACTGTAAGTTATAATTGCTTTTGAAAACTTATCTTTGCTTGACAAGTTGCTAACTTGTCTTAAATTTCAAATGCAGAAATGGGCTGACTGAATTGAATCAGTATGCATGTGAAATCTGAGGTTAAACCATCCAGAGAAATGTAACATTATCCTCTCTAATTCCTTTTCTTTTGTAAGTTTTATTTATTTATTCTTAGACCACGCGTATTTTTAAATGAAATTTGTGGTGGTGTTATTATTCAGGTGAGGAATGAGCCTGCTGAAGATTTCTTGTCCCTTTTGGATGTTTGTTATGGAGATCCTAATTGTAATAAAAAGCCTGGACTATACTTCAAGTTACATTTTGAAATTCCCGTGAGTTGCTATTTCTTTAGAAAAGCCTCAAATATACAATTGCTCTCTCAACCTTGTTGTGCTTTCCAAATTTTCGTAGATACATTCGAAGGGCTATGGTGCAGATTATGACACATGGGAACCTATAGAGGGCTTGAGGTATACTTGAAAATGGTAACCTAAAACTTATTAAGATTCACTTGTGTGTTAATTAATATGTATTTTATTTTTATGGTATGTAGTGATTGTCAACTACAAATAAAGGATTTCATAGTAACTGGATTTAAAGCAAAACATTTCACTTTGCCTGTAAGTCCTTTTCTCTTCCAACTACATTCTTCTCTAATTAATATTCTGTGTGCCTTTGGGGTAACTTTTTTAATGCTCTGTTCTCATAGGGAGGTGTTGATGTATATGTGGGACTCCTTGTCAAGGCATCAGTGGTTTCAACCGTTTATGGACAGAACCCTTACAAGATGCAAAACCAAGCAGCTTAAAGTGTTGACATGGTTGACTTCTTGAGACCAAGATTTGTTTTGAGGGAAAATGTTGTTTTCTTGGGAGATATGCTTTTAAGCCTTTAGGGATGAATTATCAACCTCGGCTGGGCATGATGGCTGTTGGAGCATATGAACTCCCACAATTTCGCATGGGTGTCTTCATGTGGGGTGCCCTTCCAGGAGAGGTAATAAAATCTCCTCAATATATTATGATTTTAGATTTGCTTACTTATCTTATTCATTTTGCAGAAATTGCCACAATATCCATTGCCAACACATAATGTTGTTGTGAGAGGTGTTATTCCTACTGAGTTTGAGGTAGAATATGCATAATTAGTTCTTCCATGTTAACCTATGTTGTTGGCAATCTTGATAATATATTTTCTTTCATGAATGCAGCTAAACATTGTTGTATATGATGAAGGGCATGATACCAAATTGAAGTAAAGAGCTCTTTCTAGGGGATGCATTATCTGATCTTCCTCCGGTAAATCGTTAATTTTGCTTTTGAATATTTATAGGGTATTCAATATGTCAAATATTGTACCTGTGGTTATTTTAGCTTATATGGTGTGGTATTTGTAGGTGGAGAATAATGAGAAGAGGGATGCTATGGAATATGTTGAGAAACCCGGGCCTGAATTCCAGCAGTTTATAAGGCTTGGACTTTGATGAGTGATTATCAACGTGTCTGTCACATTCCGAAAGCCAAGGTATCAAAAATTCTTTGAAGCTTTAGTTTTGTTTTGATCCTCAAAAACTGCTGACCCACTATGTATATTATGTTAGGTAGCAAACTTTAGGGATCTGCCTGGTGTTTGTGTTGTAGGCAGTGGGATCCATATGTGGAGAGGGTATACTTGAGTTCAGGGAAACCCTTTGTATTTTTTGTTCTCGTGACTTTTTATTTTTACTGCTCATATTTTGCACCCTCTTCTCTTGGTTAATTTTTTTTTTTCTACTGTTCATGCTTTGTTTTGTTTTTTGTTTTTTGTTTTTTTTGTTTTTTGTTTTTTGTTTTGTTTTTTTTGTTTGTTTGTTTGTTTGTTTGTTTTTTTTTTTTTTTGTTTCTTGTTTTTGTGTTCTTTCTACGTATTTTTAGTCTTGTTGTGTATTTTTAAGTTCGTTTTACAATTTAATACTTATATTTTTATGTTATGCTATATATAGTTGAGCAGGTTGAACTAAGTCTAAGCGGGAGGTATAAAAGAAAGAGCTTGAAGAATTAACAGGGAAACTGATAAGAAATTAACAGGAAAACCTTTGTCATTTATTATATTTTAAAAAAAAATTTATTTATTACTTGCATTTAAATGTTTTTCATGTGTTGCTTTTTATGGTTATAGTTTTTTACGCTTTCTTTCTATGTATTTTTTAGTTTTTTCGATGTGTATTTTAAAAGTTCGTAGATGTATATTTATTGATTCTTTTATTTCCTTAGAAGTATTGACAGTATTTTAGTATGTTTTTTCATATTTACTGTATATGTTCGTAGCTTTTTTGTGTGTGTGTGTGCTGGTTTATCTCTTTACTGTTCATTTCGTTTTATTTGACATTCTTTCTACGTATTTTAGTTTTCATTTTAGGGGACATGCAACTAAAAATAAAGGATTTCGTGGTAAATGGATTGTCAAGTAATATTCTGATTGCCTTTGAGGTAACTTTTTTAATGCTCTGTTCTCATAGGTGTCCGTGGTTTCAACCGTTTATGGACAGAACAAGCAGCTTAAAGTGTTTATCGACATGGTTGACTTCTTGAGACCAAGATTTGTTTTGATGGAAAATGTTGTTTTCTTGGGAGATATGCTTTAAGCCGGTAGGGATGAATTATCAAGCTCGGCTGGGCATGATAGCTGTTGGAGCATATGGAGGGTGCCCTCCCAGGAGAGGTAATAAAATCTCCTCAATATATTATGATTTTAGCTTTGCTTACTAATCTGATCTTATTCATTTTGCTGAAATTGCCACAATATCCATTGCCAACACATAATGTTGTTGTGAGAGGTGTTATTCCTACTGAGTTTGAGGTAGAATATGCATAATTAGTTCTTCATATAAATTGTGTACTAATTCATTTTGGAATAAAACCCTAAATTCTAAACTTAAATCCAAAATCTAAATCTTAAACCCTAAACCCAAAACCTTAACCCTAACCTCTAACTGACTCCTAAACCCTCCTAAACCTTAACCCTAAACTCTAAACACTAAACTTAAACCCAAAACCTAACCTTGAACCTAAACCCTAAACCCTAAACCCTAAACCTTAACCTTAAACTCTAACTAACCCTTAAACCCTAAACCCCCAAATTGAACCATAAATCTTAATTCTAAACCTTAAACCCTAAACTCTAAACCCTAAACCCAAAACCTAACCCCTAACCCTTAACCCCTAACCCCCAAACCCTAAACCTTAAACCTTAAATCTAAACCCTAACCTTAACCCCTAAACCCTAAATTGTAAACCTCTAAACCACCCTTTGGCCGTGCAGTATTTCTCTATACTTTTTTTCCCTTCTCCATTGTTTTAGAGAAATACTGCCATAACAAAGGATCGGAAAGCAAAAATAATGGCCAACCAGGTTGTTGTTTTTGCTCTCCTATTCGTCGCCGTTGCCGGAATGGCCTCGGCCGCCAGCTCCTTGAGCAGCACCGCGTCATCTTCTCCTTCCGTCGGCCCAGTCGGCGCACCGAAGAAAGCTACCGGTGCTCCTGCAGCATCACCGGCAGGTGCACAAAAGAAAGCTAGCGGTGCTCCCGATGCAGCCTCTCCGTCGGCGGGCAGCCCATTGGCTGGATCTTCGTCGGATTCCCCCGCTGCCGCCTCGGATCCTCGGCAGGCTCCCCCGCCGGATCCCACGAAGCGGAGCCCTCATCACCTCCATCCCCCGCCAGCGTCGGCAGCCCAGCAGCTGATGAGGTTTCCGATTCTCCTGCTGAGGCACCCATAGATGACTATGACAGCGGCGCCGCAGCTTTAAAGATCTCTGCTGCTCTCGGAGCTGCTGCCGTTGTCGGATTCTTCTTCTAGATCCCGTGAAATCTTAAAGAATGCTAGCCAAAAATAAAATAAAAAAAAGTTCCATACTACGTTGTTATTAGGCATAAATTCTTTAACACTCTGAGGCGGTGACTCCATTGTCAAGTACTGATGAGGCTCAAATTTACGGCGACTATTCTCCGACAAACGGCGACATGATTCTTATTATAATCCCCTAGTATCCACTTTATGGATGTTAGTTGGGTCATGAACTCTTGCGTTTCAATGATAAAAGAAATACAACTTATTACCACTTGGCATGCAATTGTTGGTGTGAAAAAAAAAAAAAAAACAAAACAAAACCTCTAAACCTAACCTTAAACCTTAAACTCTAAACCCTAATTCCTAAACCTAACCCTTAACCCCCAAACCCTAATCCCTAAACCCTAACCTTAAACCCTAGCCCTTGAACCCTAAACCCTAAACACTAAACCCTAAACCCCCTAAACCCTAATCCCTAATCCCTATCCCTAAACCTAAACCCTAAACCTAACCCCAAACACTAAATCCTAATCTTTAAACCTATCTCTGAACCCTAACCCCAAACCCTAACACCTAAACTCTAAACCCAAAACCCTAACCCTAAACCCTACGTTTTCTTCGACTAAATACAATAAACCCTAATCTTTAAACCTTTCCATGATGACGTACCCTATGTTTTCTTCGACTTTGCGGATCCGCCGTGAGGGCGGTGCCTGCTTGCTCTTTTACTTTTGTTTTATTTACTGTACTTTATTTTCTTTTGTTTCTTTTGTATCTAGCTTCTCTCTTTGTATGGCTTGTTTGCATGGGGCGTGGGGGGCTTCTCGTTTTGGGGGTTTCTCTTTCTGCTTTGTGTTCTCTTTGCCTATCTTGTTTCTGCGTGTTGCTGTGTGGTTTGCCGGATGTATTCGTGTGTTTCATGCATAGCATACACTCTGAGGTGGGAGTGCTCCTTTATTCTTGCTCGTTTATATCTGTGCTTGTTAGAGGTTGGTGAATTGGCTGGCTGTTTCTATAAGGGGTTGGGAGGGTGTGAGGTGGGCTTCTGGTACTTAGCATATATGCTATTGCTTCTGTGGATGGCTATATAGGTTCCCCGGGTAAAATACAGTACGCTGTACCGTGGGCGCTGGCTTGACGCTTAAGGGTGGTATATATGTTGGCACCAGTGGTTAGGGAGCCATCGCTTGGAACTTTGGGCCGTTGAAGCCCTCTGAGATAAAATGCAGAGATCTGTACATACGGGGGTGGCCTGGGTTTCAAGGGTGGGTGGAGGTGAGTACCATTGCTCATGTGGCGGACTATTCACGGTCCCCCCGGATAAAAATGCAGAGATCTGTACCGGAGGGGATCTGTCCAACGCATGAGGGTGGTTTGGGTTTGGCGGCTGGTTTCATTGCTCCTGTGGATGGTCATATAGGTTCCCTCGGATAAAAATGCAGAGCTCTGTACCGCGGGGGACCGACCTGACGCTTGAGGGTTGAATTGGTCCGTCATGGCTTTTGGAGCATCGTTCCCACCCTTTGTGTAGGGCATGACGCCCAGGAATTGTCTAGCTTTTCACTCGGTTTTAGGTTGCTTGCATTATGGGTGTTGGGCCCACTTCGTAGTTTAGAGTTTTCTCCTTTACTTGTTGCCTTTTAGGCCCTCATGCTTTATTTGTAGACTTGGTCACTTTTGGGCCTTGTCCTTTTCCTTTTGTTAGCCTTGGTCACTTTTGGGCCTTGACGATACTTTGTTCGGTTCCTTTTGTTTATAAATAAGATGCACCTTTAAAAAAAAAAAAAAAAAAAACCCTAAACCTCAAACCTTAACCCTTAAATCTAAATCCTAAACCCTAAACCCTAAATCCAAACCATAAACTTTAACCCTAAACCTAACTTTAAAACCTAATTCCAAACCCTAAACCCTAATCCCAAACCCTAAACTTAACCCTTAACCCCTAAACCTTAAACCCTAATCTCTAAACCTAAACTTAACCCTTAATTAACCCTTAAACCTTAAACCCTAATCTCTAAACCTAACCCTAAACCCTAAACCTTAACCCCCAAACCCTAAACCCTAAACCTTAAACCCAAACCCTAAACTTTTACCCTAAACCTTAACTTTAAACCCTAAACCCTAAATCGTAAACCTCCAAACATAACCTTAAACCTTAATTCCAAACCTTAAATCTTAAACTCTAAACCCCTAAACCCTAATCCCTAAACCTAACCCCTAAACTCTAAACCCTAATCTTTAAACCTTAAACCCTAAACCTTAACCCTAAACCCTAAACTGTAAAACCCTAAATCGAACCATAAATCCTAATTCCAAACCTTAAACCCTAAACTCTAAACTTAACCCTTGACCCTTAAACCATTAACCCTAATCCCTAAACTTAACCCCCAAACCCTAAACCTTAAATCTAAACCCTAAATCTTAAACTTAAACCCTAACTCTAAACCCTAAACCCTAAACCCTAAATCTTAAACCCAAACCCTAAACCTTAAACCCAAACCCTAAACCCTAAATTATAAACCCCCAAACCTAACCTTAAACCTTAATTCCAAACCCTAAACCCTAAACCCAGATCTCAAAAGTAGGCAATTTAGAATCTATAACAGAACCTGAAATGGAGAATGAAGTGAACCCCGAATAGGTGGTCATTCATGATTGGCTTAGTCAATCCCTTCACTTGCCTGTACTCTTATCCCCGAGTCTTTGATCAAGGAGTGGCTCAGTGCCCAAAACTGTCATGGAACCTTTAGGAGTCTTCAGATTTAGGAGGGAGCATAGGTCGAAAGCTTTCTTTTCTTCCTCTTATGTATATGTAATTTTCTCTCTCTTAAGGTCTTTCCTTACGTGGATGTAGTTCAAAGCTTGAACTTTCGATATTTGGAATGCCAACCCCGATTGCCTTAACTAGTTCCCTGGGATCAAAACTACCTTAGAGGAGAACATGCTCGTCCCTCGAACTCTTTTCAACAAGAGAGCAACAGGAGCGTTCGCTCAAGCTATCGTCTAAGCTCAGCTCCTGTTCACAAATGCCATTAAGTTTGAACTAGGAAAAGCAAATTTTGCACTCCCTTCTTATGACTAAATTGAGATCAATAATTACATGGATGAAGTAATTTTTCCTTTGTCTTCAGTGATCTATCAAAGAGCTTTCCTGTGACCAAGGTAAGGAAGAAGGGTCAGAATCAGCCCTTATTCCTTGTTGATTTGCTTGGTCTGCTACGGAAATCACTTCCTCTAAATATTTGATTCTCGTGTCTCTACTGATTTTAGTGCTCTGCCAAAGGTTTGATCAAAAGTCGGCATTAAATCAAAGGCTTTGAGCTCTTTGTCCGAGGATGATATCCTAATTGCTAGTCTGAATCAAGGGCATTCATTCTTCCTTGAAACCCAACTAGTAGCTTGCTGTTATCAATAAGGTTTTCATTTTATTCAAAGCATCTTCCTTTGTTGGATTTCCTGTTATTCGTAGCCGGCTCCTCTCTAAGCTTTGAGCAGCAACGGATTAAGGATAAGCTGCAAGAGCTAGGATTGACTTTCATTCAACATCCTCCTTACCTTAGTAGACCAGAACAACCACTCACTGGCGGCACACTTTCTATATCAATATCACGATTTGATGTAAATGCGCTATATCCAATTCTTTTATATACCCACATGGGATCCTCCCTGAAACTCTTGCCTAATCAAAGGGGACATAATAGGTTGATGGAACCTTGCCCATAGAAAGCACAACTAGACACCACAACAGAGGCTTTAGACAAATGACTTTGATCCACATTAAGTTCTCCTAATGAGATCTTTACGCACGTTGAAACTATTGAATAGGAGCCAGTTAGAACACTTTCACTAGAGGACATCATGAAGCTCCTTGAGCAGCCTCCGCAACTCTGGTAACGCCACCATATGGTAAGGCTTTGCGGTTGATGGACTAAACTCTATTCAATGGTTCACATATCTCTTGGGTGGCAATCTCTTGGGCCTCAGGCTGGCAAACCCATCCAGCACGTCTCCGAATGGCTTAGGCTATTCTGTCTGCTTTGTAGGTTGTGCCTCTTCCCTCAGCGCGTCCAGAAATGTTGGTTGCGCCTTCTTTATTTTGCTCACCAACAACATGTCTTAAATCTGCGTGGCCTTGACACTCCCTTCTCTCGCCAGTGGTACTAGGCAGGGACCATTCTTCTCGCCGAGGATGGCTAGTGTGTTGGCACATGGGATTGGTACGACATTCACACTGTCTAGAAATTCCATGCCTAACACAATAGGGCAATCATCCATCTGTACCTGCTCTCCTAACCGCTTTCTAACATCATCTTTCTCGCTTTCAAAGCAAAGAAAAGAGAAACGACTAACTAAGCATTAGGTACGGTCAGCCTTAGACAAGACAAGCCTATCATTCGCACTTGACTTTCTCTATAGAGACTTTTTCTATAACTAGTCTTATTGAGTAAAGGGGTCGGTAGGCTCTCTATCTCAATCCGGGGAACTGAACTAGAGCTCACCTTAGCACAAAACTGAAGGCGCTAGACGGAATGAAACTAGGACCTAACCTAATGGTAAACAGGTGAAAGATTAGGAAATCTTACTCCCCCGTGTAACAGAGAGGGAATCCATCATACTACGATCGTCAAATCCTCTCCTATGAAGTAAACAAAGCCTATGCTGTCAATAGAACCGTCGGCCTAGAACCCAATAGGAGCTAATCAAACTCTCCCGAGGAATTTGACTAAGACACCCCTTCTCCCTTGGCTAATATGGTTCCGGTGGAATAGGCGGACATAGAATACGGGGAATGCGCATACTGTGACCCGTAGGAATTCAACTAACGTAAGGCTATACAAGCCGGGATGTTAAACCATGTACTGCAACCAAAGAGATCTTACCCCCATCCAACTAACAATAAAGTTTCTTACTAGCCCGGAACTATAAACAACTCCCTTAAAAAGGGCCCTAAGGAATACAAAAAGAAAGAATAAAAGGCAGAAGTCTGGGGCACCTGCTACCGGATCCCGTTGAAGTTGACTTTTAGAGTTCGGTCTAACGCAACCCAACGAGTTCTTTCAATAGTAGTCCCTTGCCCAGTTGGTTGAGGTACCATGCCTTCTCCTTGACATATTGAGATAGCTTTAAATGATGAGAAAGTGCGCTACCTACTTTGAATGATAAATGATGTAAGCTCCGGCTTTGCGATATGACCCACATTGCAATGTTCCTAAGATGATGCTTCTAGAAAATCGGAATTCTTAGAATATGCTAAAGTTGCGGTTAGACTTTCACCTTCCTTCTTTGTGAAGGATACCCAACCTGAATCGTTGCTCTTAAAAATGGAATTCTTTACTAGACATTTGGGGGGTTGATCAGCACGTAAATGGGGGTCGGGGGTAGGTTCTGGAGGCTCTGAAATCCAAGTTATGACCCCTCGGTAAAGAAAGAGATATAACCGCAGAATGAGGCGATTGAAAGATAAGGCCATGGTAGTGGATGGTATTTAGGTACCTAGCACTGCCTGGGGGCAAGCAGGGGCCCAAGCTGTTAGCGTTGCAAGAGCCTCGACTTATGTTCCCACTAGTAATGGGTTTGCTGCAATACGAGATGAGGATACTGATTGCATTATACGGTTGGCAGTTCCAAGTGTAGGGGATTTACCCCCTATTCTGGAAGTCAGTGAGGGGGCTGTTAGCCCGATTACATCAGGGCGGACGGATATTCAGCGTCCGCTACAGGTATCGTTCTCCTTTACTCCTAGCTTTCCTTTATTTCATGGTCCTTTGGAGGATGGGACGCCTCCTTGTACCCCCCGAGTGATGCATTGCCCTCCGTGGACTCTCAGGGGGCACCAGTTGTGCCTAGGTGTCCGTGGAGGAATTGGGGGGGGGGGGGGGGGGGCAGGGGGGATCTCTGCCAGATAGTGACGTCCCGAAGGTAGGTCGCATGCCTGGATCTCTGCCAGATAGTGACGTCCCGAAGGTAGGTTGCATGCTTGGGTTTCTGGCCACTGGTTTTGAGACAGACCAGGAGGATAAAGAAATTAGATATGCTACCCTGCCTCCTGATAGATCGCATGTTTTCAACTTTGAAGGGGAACCTCCCCCCTTCCCCCCACCCCTTGCGCTTAAGCAGCTTTCTGGTCCCCGGGATTTATTATGAAAGTCATAGTTTGGAATGTGAGGGGGGGTTTTCTCTTAAGGTTCTGCTCACAGGATTCGTGTAATGCTTAGGTCCCACTCACCTTTCATTTTATGTCTCCTCGAGCCTTTTATTTCACCTGATAGGCTCGAGTTCTTTAAAATAAGATTTCGCTTTGATAATGCTTTCTGTTCTGGTAATAATAAAAATTGGCTTTTTTGGAATAATGATTTGGCAGTAAGTATTGAGAGCCAGACTTAGTAGTGTGTTTCTGTTTCATGTGCTCATGCTACTATGTTCACCCCTTTCTGGCTCTCGTTTGTTTATGCCAAAACCAAAGGACGTCTCCGGGATCCGTTATGGGATAAGCTGAAATCCGTTTTTTTTCTAGAGTTCCCGGAGGTGTTCTTTGGTCTGTAATGGGTGATTTTAATTGCTTATTGAGTGTGGACGAGAGAAAAGATGGGCTTCCTTACCCCCATAGGATGACCAATGATTTTCGCGAGTGTGTCAGTGCGAGTGACCTTATTGGTGCGACTTACTACGACTCCTGTTTCACTTGGTGGAATGGGAGACGTGGGGAGGCAGATGGATGCGTTTGGACCGTTGTTTTTACAACTCGGTATGGGAATCGATTTTCAAAACATCTGTGCTGCATCTATCAAAGGCCATGTCTGACTACAGTTTACTTTTAATATCTTGTGATTTGTTGAGAATGCAGGTAGCGCCGGAGCACTTTATCTTTCTGAACTTCTGGGTTAAGCATGAGGATTTCCAAAGGGTGGTGCGTGATAGTTGGCTGGCCCCGGTTGTGGGGGCACCTATGTTTGTAATGGCCACCAAGCTTAACAGATTGAGTAAGATGCTGAGTAAGTGGAGTAGGACAGTATTCAGGGACATTTTTGCTAAACTCCGGGAATATGAGGATAGTGTCTAGACTCTTGAGGCTATTTTGCAATAGCACCCAGACGATGAGCATGCTTTAATAGAATATAAAAAGGGTGTTGCGCTTTTACAAAAAACAAATTGCAATTAAAGAAGAGTTTTGGTAACAGAAGACGCGCGTTATCGAGGTCCAGGAGGGTGATAGGAACTCATGCTACTTTCACTCTACTGTTAAGGAACGCAGGCGCAAGTTGTTTATTCACAGAGTTAAAAATGACGCAGGAGTTTGGCTGGAAGATAGACATGGGATAGCCCAGTAGGCTGTTTCCTTTTTTGAGCACATGTTCACTGCGGAGGTTGGGGGGTTTGACTTGGCCCGACTGGATTGTGGCCCGCGGTTGGTTGGTTACAGAGGAGGATAATGAGCTACTGACGGTGGTACCAGAAGTGGAGGAAGTGAAGGCGGTGGTGATGCAGATGAACTCTACTAGTTCTGCTGGTCCAGATGGGTTTTCGGGAACCTTTTATAAGGCTTGCTGGGATATTATTCAGGAGGATGTAGTCAGCATGGTTCGGGGCTACTTTTCAGGACGGGAATTCACCAAAGCTATCACGCACACATCCATTGTTCTGTTGCCGAAGAAGCCAAATCCGGAAACCTTTGCAGATTACAAGCCGATCAAGGGAAACTCTTTCCCTTCCTAAAAAAGGATTGGGGGGGGGGGGGGGGGGGGGGGGTGTTGGATTTTTAGACTTGGACCTGATGATTAAGGCGGCCAGTGCGAAGATAATCTTGATCACTAATTACTAATTTGAGTTGAATCTTGTTTGCTCGTTTACTATTTATGATTGTTTATGATTTGTGTTGAAGATCCTATATTACATTTAGTCTTTTAAATAGTTGTTTCACATTTTTGTGCCTGCATAGTCTTTCAGAGCACACTGTTGTGTCTTCCGGTGCATATTGTTGAAGATCGTAAGTGACAAAATATTTTTTAAAGAGTAGTTAATCTATGGCTGAAATTTATCCCCAATGTTTCACCAACGGCACTTTTCGCACCAGAGCCTATATATATAGGGCGGTACGGGGCAACTGTCCATTACTGCATGGTTGTGACTATGGTTGTGTATATATAGTATGGTTAACCCGTTACCTATTCAACATATTTTGGGCAAATTATACTATCAAGGGTGGCTTATTAAACTAACAGTGTTTGTGTTTCTTTCTGGGTGACAGACTTCGTACGTGCAGGCTAAGAAAATTTAATAAAACTTTTGGACTATGATTATGATATCATTGTTAAGTGAGCATAACACTACCAGCAAGGCGAAAACCACTTTAAAAAAGGAAAATATTTAAGGGTGGTTAATAACAATGAACTTAAAGTTTGAACTTTTTTGTTGAGTAACGATAAAAAAAAACTTACAATTATTATTCAATTTTTTTTTTGCTTATTTAATTTGTAATAATTTACAAATTTTGTTAGAGATATAATCTGCACTAGAAAAAAAGTTTAAACACTTTTTATCATTTAAAAGGTAAAATAGTTGGAAAACACATCAGGTCCCATAATCATGTGATCCACCCATCATTTATCTCTGTTTTCATATTTGCAGGGTTCAACATAATGGGGGACATAAACCTGGCCTACGACAATTAATCCATTGCCCTTCATACATCACTACAAAAAAACACTTTTAAGGTCGGTTATTTTTTACCTACAATATCAGTTATTTCGCAACGTAGTAAATTAATAATACGACGTCGTATGTCTTTTTTCTTAAAAAAAAAATTTAAGATACGACGTCAATTTTTTTTTTAAAAAATCAACGTTGTATCTTTTTTTTTTTTTTTTTTTTTTTTTTTTTAAATAAAGATACGATGTCGATTAAAAAAAGAAGACGTGGTATCTCTTTTTAAAAAAAAAAAAATAGAAAACACAATAGCAGACACTACATCCAGACCAGAACACTCAAAAAGTAGCAGACTTATATTCACATCATGAACTAGAAGAAGAATAAGAGAGCCAAAGACATTGTGATCTAGTGGCACCAAGTTGCTCTTTCATGTGAGAGGTAGTGAGATATTGACTCTTTGTGCTTCAGTAGGTCAGTAGGTTGAGAAAGTAGTTATGAACAAATATTACATTATAACAGAGTCAGTAGCACTCAAAAAAAAAAAAAAAAAAAAACTAGAAGAAGAGAAAAATTAGAACAAACATCAACATTTTTAAAAACTCCAAGTGTTCATCCATAAGACTCTTGGCATTAATAAATGCAAGATAATAATATATAATATAATAATAATAACAATAATAATAAATATGGATATTTTGAATTTTATACTACTATTTTTTATGAATTAATAATAGAGGAATTGAAACTCATCACATAGTCAAAAGACCATTTTAAGTATGTAAAATAATTGATTGAATTAAGTAGATGTGACAAAAGTATTTTTTTTTTTTTTTTGAGAACGACAAAAGTATTTCTATCCCTTTGATTTATATGGAAATTCGCAGCCGACACCAAATAGAAATGTTTCTATTCCAATATGCATATCATTCATTTAATTTTTTACCTACACATCCTACTATACATACCCCATCAATTAATTGTATTAATTGGAAAAGTGGTCCATGATGTCATTGATTGATGTCCTTTTTTTTGAATTTTTTCAGAGCAAAATGTTGTACCTTTCAGAACATAATGTTGTGACTTTCAGAGTATACTAATGTGCCTTTTAACGCACACTGATGTATCTTTCAGCGCACATTGTTATTCTTCAAGAGTACATTGTTGAGCCTTTCAGAGCATATTGTTGTGCCTTCCAGAGCACATTATTGTGCCTTTGAAGTGTATATTATTTTGTATTGGACTACACATCGTTGAGCCTTCCAGAGCACATTGTTGAAGATCGTAGGCGACAATTTTTTTTTAAAAAAGATAAAAATCTAATAAGCGACCCCGCGTCGTCCGGAAAGCTCGCTCTCAAACGGAGAGGACTCGGATCACAAAGCTAAAAGCTTAAAAGGTGTTGGAATAAGCAAAATATTTCGATCTTCAAGTTAACCATGAAGCATCCATCCAAGCATGGAGCCTCGAGCGATTTCAATTCGGCCAAACGTTTACTCTCTCTCGTTGTCGACTTCTCGCAACTCAGAGAGTGGGGGACTGATGATGGATATATTGGAAATAGATGGTCCAATAATAGAGACCCAGGTCTAGGAGCAATAGTTATGCTGTGTAACCGTGTGCACCATGCATGGTGCACACGATTGCAAAACGACGTCGTTTTGACTAAAAACGCGCGTCCCAATTAAAAAAAATTCAGTTTCGATTCCCCTCAACATCATTATATTGTTCATTCATTGTGGATTTTTAGTTCATTCATTGTGGATATTTAGTTCATTCATTCTGGATTTTGTGTTATTCATTCATTGTGGATATATAGTTTGAATTTGTGCATATATAGTTATGAATGTGTGGATATATAGTTATGAAGTTGTGGATATATAATTCAAATTATGCACAAAAAAATGCTATTGCCGGGAATCGAACCTGAATTTTTTTTTTTTTTTAAATGGGACGCACGTTTTTAGTCAAAACGATGTTGCACAGCATAATTTGCGGTCTAGGAGTGCATAACCCGAGCAACCCAAAAATATAATTACAGCGGTCCAAGAAGGGTCCAAGACTCGGAGCCAGCTTCTAGGCCTGGAATGGTTGGCTTTGACTTAGTCTCATGGCCCACCATTTGGATCTTGATTTAGTCTTATGGCCCACCATATGTCTAGCCAATCATTATTGCATGGACCATGGTCCACGCAATTGTGTGGACTATAAATAAAAAAGTACATTTTTAATAAACTAAGGGTACATTATTTATGTATGTAAGGTACATTTTTGAAAATACATTTTTAATATACTAAGGGTACATTATTTTATATAATGTATCTTCAGTACAAAAATAATGTACTTTTAATATATTAAAAATGTATCTGATATTCATGGTCAATACAATTGTGTGGACCACAGTCCATGCAATAATTTGCCATGTCTAGCTATATTGGTTTAGTTTACTTCTTGTATAAGTAGCCATTATTTATCCCAGCCAAAGGATATTCAATATCATTTACAACACATTCTCTGTAATATTTTTATATTATTAATTCATCCAATACTATTATGATTCTACTCGTTTATATCTATTTTACGCCTTTATATATTTTATACAAGATTATTGATCCGTATAGTTATATACTCCGGATCAATTTTTTCCATCAATAACAAATAGTGTATTTGATTAGTCGGTACTGGATGTTGATATGTTTATATTGCGTATACTGATAATGATTAGATTAGTTTTATACCAATTAATGATTTTAATAATCTATTACAATAATGTTAACGAAACGTACAACTTTGATCTCCTAACAAATATCCGTGCAGTCGCATAGTATTATTTTCGTGGTTTGGTCATCCACTATTATTTTGGCAATCAATTTGAGAAAGTATTGACAAAGTTTGTTCAGAGAGTGTTGATAGAATTAGGGAGGGTAATTCCAATTCGTTCCGCAGATATCAATTCGAATTTATATTGTATGGATCGATTTTTTAAGTGATAGTGGGTGGTGGGTCAGCAATTATACTATGGACCGCGGTCTAAAAACGGCATCGTTTTTTTAAATAAAGAAACAGTGCGCCGTAACAGTTAACGGAGCGCGCATGTTTGGTGTATTAATTACCAACTGAAACTACAATGTATCTAAACTAACACTGTCTCACGTATTATTTTTATATTATCAAATGAAACTACAATTGAATTGAAATGAAACTGTAGTTGTGTTGAAATGAAACTGCAGTGTATATAAAATGAAACTGAATAACATTTCACATATTTGTGGGTATATTGTGCAATGAAACTGTAGTTATATTGAAATGATAATGTAGTTGTGTTTTAATGAAACTATAGTGTATTATAAAATAAAATTAAATAACATTTTCACATATTTGAGTGTATAAATATCGAATGAAACTGTAGTTATATCGAAATGAAACTGTAGTTGTGTTGAAATAGCATTGCAGTGTATACAAAATGAAACTGAATAAAAGAGTTACTTTTTGCGGAACGGCGCGAAACGAGTGCCGTTTCTTTTCATTAAACAAAACGACATCGTTTAGAAGCTCGGTGCACGATATAATTTGCCGTGGTGGGTCGAGGTGAGTCTTAAAAAAGTAAACCCTCTGTGGGTCAAGTTGGATTAGAATTTTATTTACAAAGCCCTTCTAAAACCACACTCGACCCAACACGTATAAAATTAATAGTAAAATAAGGACTAAGTATAGAGTTAATTATAAAAGTTTAAAGTACTCTTGCTAGCTTTTGCTATTTTTAGTGGTAAACTAATAAGTTTATTTTTTAAAAAAAATAATAATTAAGTTATTATATTTGAATATTTCTATTATTTTATACGCTTTAATATATTTAGTGAATTTTATTATTTTTATTATATGTAATTAATTTAAATATTATTTTTTAAAAAAATTTAATAAGATAAAAAGTGGTGGGTACTTGTAATGGGCACCCGCATCCGATGGGAGTGGGGGCGGGTTTTGAAAAAGTCCATTCGATGCAAGTCAGGCGTGAGAGTGGAATCGAGTGGACGGAGAAAATATAAGGTTGGGTGGTGGACGTCACCATCC